CTAATGCTATCCACTGATTTCCATAGTGGTTGTACTAGATAACATTTCTACCTGCAACTTCACCAGCATTTCTTGTTTTCTGAGTTTTTGACAGTGGCCATTCTTTCTGGAGTAAGGCAGAATCTCAGTGTTGTTTCGTTTGGGTTTCTCTAATAGCTACAGATGCTGAATATTTTTTTAATGTACTTATTAGCCATTTATACTTTTTCCGTGAAATGCTTATTCATTTCAAGTATCCATTTTTTATTGAGTCATTTATTTTGGAGGGTCCATTTTTAAAAATTATTTATAAAATATAGATATTAGTCCTCTACAGAATAGATGGGAAAGAATTTGCTTTTTGCTCTTTAGGTTGTTTCTTTGCTCTGTTGGTTGTTTTTGTTGCTGTGCAGAAACTTTTTAATTATATCAAAATCCCATTTGTTAATCCTTTTTGTTTATCGAGGTTCTGTTCAAAAAGTTTTTGCCTATGTCTTCAAGAGTTTTACCTGTATTATCTGCCAGCAGATTGTTTGTTCCAATATTTAGGTCTTTTCCAGGTGTGGTGGTACATATCTGTAACCCCAGAACTTGGGAGGCTTAGGCAGGAAGATTGCTGTAAGTTGGAGACCAGCCTGGGCTACGTAATGAGATCAAGATCACCCTGGACTGCATGGTGAGACCCTGTCTCAAAAATTTTTTTTAGATCTTTGATTTGTTTTGATTTTACTTTAGCACATGGTGAGAATTATGGGTTTAGATTTAGTTACTGCCTGTGGCTAGCCGGTTTTCCCAGCACCATCTGCTAACAAGGCTATCTTTCTTTCAGGGCAGTGATAGTGAACCTTTTAGAGCTTTCAATGATACAAACAGCCCCCTGGGGCACATGTGCTATAAGTTTGCCACTATTGCTCTAGGGAATGTTTTTAGCCTCTTTGTCAAAGATCAGACTGCTCTGAGTGTCTGGGGGTTGTTCTGCATCCTGTGATCTAGTCCACTGATCTGTGTGTCTGTTCTGTGCCAGTATCATGCTGTTTTTAGCACTGTAGTTTTGTAGTATAGCTTCAAATCTGGGATTGTGATGCCTCCTGTTTTGTGCCCTTGCTATTTAGGATTCCTTTTGCTATTTTGGGTCTCTTCTGGTTCCATATAAATTTTAGGATTGCTTTTCTCTCTGATGAATGCAATTGGTATTTTGATTGGGATTGTATCAAATTTATGTATCAGTTTTGGAAGTGTAGCCATTTTGACTATAATGGTTCTGCCTACTCAGGAACAGGAGAGATCTTTCCATTTTCTGATGTCCCCTTCAATCTCCCTTTTCAGACTACTTTAGTTTTCATTATAGAGGTCTTTCACTTCATTGTTTAGATTGACTCCTAAACATTTAATTTTTTGGAAACTATTATAAATGGTATTGTTTTTCTAATTTCTTTCTCGATGGGTTCATTATTGGTGTAGAGGGATGCTATTGATTTTTGTGTGTTGATTTTATATCCTACTACCTTACTAAATTTATTAGTTCTAGGAGTCTTTTGGTAGAATTTTTTGGGTGTCTTATATAAGGGATCTTGTCCTATGTGAAAAAGGATAGTGTCACTTTGTCCTCTCCATACATGTTCCTTTTATTTCTTTTTCTTGCTTGAACTCTCTGGCTAAAGTATCAAGTACTAGTCTATTGAACAAGAGTGATGGGAGTGGAACGCTTGTTTTCTTCCTGATTTTAGAGATAAGCTTTTTGTTTTGCCCCATTCACTGTGATGTTGGCATTGAAGTTGTCATAAATGGCTTTTGTCAGTTTTTAAAATTTTATCATGGTGCACTGCGTGGTGGTGCGTGGTGGTGCACTCCTGTAATCCCAGCACTCGGGAGGCTGAGGCAGGCGCATCGTTGCAAGTTTGAGACCAGCCTGGGCTACAAAATGAGCCCAAGGCCTGCTTGAACTGCATAGTGAGATCCTGTCTCAAAAAGACCAAAAAAAAAAAAATTAAAAATTAAATAACGTAAAATTTTATCATGAATGGATGTTGGATTTTGTCAAAGGCTTTTACAGTGTCTGTTGAGATGACCATGTTATTTTTGTCCTCACTTCTCTATGTGATGTATCGAATTTGTTGATTTGTAAACATTGAACCATCTTTGCATCCCTGGACGAAAGCCTGTTTGGTGATGATGCATGATCTTTTCAGTGGCTTGTCACATTCTGCTTGCCTGTATGTTGTTGAGAATTTTTGTATATGTGATCATAGTTCTCTTATTAATTCTTTGTGCAATTTTGGTATCAGGGTAATTCTAGATTACAGGAAATAGTTTAGCTGTACTCCTTCCCTTTCTATTTCATTAAAGAGTTGAGGGGTATTAATGTTAGATTTTTTTTCTGAAGTTCTCATGGAATTCAATGGTGAATCCATCGGGTCCTGGGCTAATCTTTGTTGGTGGAGGTTTTATTTATTTATTGTGTGTTTCCTTTTTTATATTGTTGATAACTTTTTATTACTGCTTCAATTTCATTATCTGTTCTTTTTCTGTTCAGGGTTTTTAATATCTTTTTAGTTCAATAGTGATAACTCATGTTTAGAATTTCTCTGTTTCGTCTAGGTTCTCCATTTTATTGGAATGTACATTTTTGGGGCACTTTCTTATAGTCCTCTGGTTTTCGCAGTGTTGGTTGTGATTTTGCGTTTTACATTTGTAATTGCATTGATACCGGTTTTGGCTGAGGATTTATCAATCTTGTTTATTCTTTCAAAGAACTAACTCTTCGTCTTTTTTTTTTAAAACAGGGCATCATTATGTAACCCAGGCTGGCTTTGAACTCATGGCAATTCTCCTGCTTCAGCCTCTTTAGTGCTGGGATTATAGTTGTGGGCCATCATACTTAACAACTCTTTGATTCATCAGTCCTTTGTAGGTTTTTTTTTTAGTCTCAATTTTATTAATTTTCTCTGTCATCTTTGTAATTTCTTCCCTGATACTAATTTCAGATTTGGATTGCTCTTGTTTTCCTAGGACATTAAGATGCATCTTTAGGTTATTTGACATGGCTCAAATTGCTGTTTTTATGTGTGCACTCACAGCTATAACCTTTCCTCTTAGAACTGCTTTCATTGTGTCCTGTAGGTTCCGGCATGTTGTGCTTTCATTGTTTTTTGTGTAGGCAATACAATATATGGTTGTGTTTAGCTTTTTTGATCCAATCAGCCAGTCTGTCTTTTGACTGGGGACTGAGAACTGTTGACATTGAGAGTTACTATTGTAAGTTGTTTAGTGAATCCTGTCACTGCATTATTTTTTCAGTGCTGATTCCTTTGGGTTTTTTTTTTCCACCTTTTTTTTTTACCTACTCCCCAGTTAGATGTGTAATTTCCTTTGGGCCCTTTGGTGCTGATGGCCTCCTTGACTGTCTAGGATTCCCTTGAGTATTTTCGCTGGTTTAGTGGTCATGTTTTTTTTTAGGGTTTCTTTGTCATGGAAAGTGTTTAGTTCTTTGTCAGTTCTTAAACGTGGATTTTCAGGATATAGGATTGTGAATTGACAATCATTTCTTTTAGGGCTTGAAAAACTTTGTCGCATGTTTTCCTGGTCTTTAAAGTTTGTGCTGAGAGCTTCATTGTAATTCTAATAAGACTTGCTTTTATAAGTCATTTGCTGCTTTTCCTTAATAGCTTTCAGTATTCTCTCCTTTTGTTGAATTTCTGAATTTTTGATTATATTGTGTTGTGGAGAGGTTCTTTTCTGGCTGTAGCTATTTGGTGTTCTGTATGCCTCTTGAACTCAAATATTGAATTCTTTCGCTGGATTTGGATAATTTTCTGCTATGATTTCAATGAATGAATATTTTATACCTTTTGAGTCTTACCATTTTGCTTTTATTCCTATAATCCTGTTTTCTTTTCTTTCTTTCTTTCTTTTTTGTTTTTTGTTTTTTGGTACTGGGGATCGAGCTCACGACCTCGAGCTTGCCAGGCAGGTGCTTATGCCATTGAGCTGTATCCCCAACCCAATCTTGTTTTCTTGTTTACTTATCTGGAAGCTGTTGGTTGCAGCTTGCATATTTTCTTGTCATTTTTAGGGTGTTACCTGCTTTGTCATCAGTTTCTGACACTATCCTCATATTGGTTGAATCTGCTAGCCATATTTTCTATTGTATTTTTCATATCTTATAATATGCTTTTTAAAATAATTCCTAATTCTTTACCAAACTGGTCATCCATACATTGTATTATGTTAACTCAATTAGTTTGTATTTCCCCTAGGGTCTTTGAACATTAGCATAAAGTCTTCTTTTAGGTCACTAAAAATCTTATGAAATGGCCTATGTGTTTCTTCTTTGAGCTCTTCAAACATTTTGCCCATTTATTTTTTGAGATCTTTGTGTGTTACTTCCTCTGCTTCAGTTGCCATGAGATTGGCCTTTGGGGGGGGCTAAGCGATTTTTGGAGGGATCTTGTTGACTTGCTTTCACGTGTTTCTGTTATATTTGTGCTGCATGTTGAAGACCAGTTAAGATAGAGACTCTCTCCCCACTGCGGTGAGTTCTGTGAAAATGGGGAGTGTGCCTGTCTGCAGCACATGCTCAGCCCTCGGGAGCTCAGGTGTGGAATGAATGATCACATGAACCGTGAACCCATGAGGTTGCAAATCTCTGGCCATCCCTCCTGTCTCCCTGGAAGTAGCAGTGTGCAAGCTGTGTGACTTCATGGGAATGAGTCTATTGGTACTTCACAAGAACCGTTCCTTATGAGTGAGACTCACGCCAGGTAATTCTTGGAAGATAATGTGGGGCAGAAGCCTGAGGCTGATGGATGGATGCAGAGGGGGGATTTGCCTGCGAGGTGGTCAGGCGCCAGAACGGGGGAGGGAAGGGTCCCCACACACACCTGTCTTTCCACAGAGAAGCGTCTTTATTTATTTATTTATTGGTAGCAGGGATTGAACTTACAATTTCGTGCTTGCCAGGCAGATGCTTATGCCACCGAGCTAAATCCCCAACCCAGAAGCACCCTTTTGTGATTCCTTGATTTCTGCTGCAGAAAGAATACACCAAGGACCCCAGGAGGAGCCTTCCTTCTAGCACGCCTTCCTGTAGGTCCCTATCATCCAGCGACGGTGGGGGTGGGCCCAGCAGCCACTCTGGCCACTCCCACCTGTCTGACAGAGAGGTCACCCGAAACTTGCAAGAAGGCATCAGGCACCGCATCTGCTACCTGTCCGAGCAGCTGCGAGTGGAGAGGGCCAGCCGGGATGAGAACATAATGAGCTACCTCAAGCTGGTGGCCAGTGCTGACCGTCATCAGGCCGCCCACATCCGGCGGGCCTTCGAGAGAGTGAACCAGCGCACCTCGGCTATCATCTCGCACATTGAGTGCAGGCTCCGCCAGTGCTGCCAGCAGCTCCAGGAACTAGAGGGACATAGGCCCACTGGTCCGGCACCCCAGGCAGAAGGTGGCTCAGACAAGGATGACCAGCCCAGTGAGCCCAGCACTGCTGGAGCCTGCACACCCAAGACTTGCCCCTCCAGCCCAGGGCGGCAGCAAGAGCTCCTGCTGCACGAGGCTGAGGAGGTCAGGAGCTCATGCTTGGGCCTGCAGGGGCCCTACCAGGACCTCCAAGACAGGTATCTGATGGACCTGCCTGTGTTTCTGGAGTCCCTCCAGGAGCAGAGGTGCAGGTGAGCCAAGCTCCTTCCTCTGCTCTTGCCCTGGGGACCTGCCTATAGTTGGAGGGCTGGAACAGGAGGCGTAGCCTCATCCTTCGCAGGCCAGATAGCTTCAGCAGCATGGTGGACGCAGGGTCAGGCAATGGGACATTAGGCTGGAGTGCCTGCGTAAGGGAGACATGGTGGGGACGTGAGATGGAAATGCAGAAGAGATCTGTCACACCCGAGGCCGGGGTGGGAGGGTGACCTTGGGGACTTGCCCAAGTGGGGGAGCTATGTGCTGGGATCTCTTGAATCTCAGGCGAAGATGTGCAGGAAGGGCAGATCTTATTCATAGGATGGTGGCATTGACCCTTGGGGTTTAGGATGGCTGTCAGGTTTCAGGGCGCTGACATGAGAAACAAGTCAGCTGCATAATAAAGAGCCTTCTTTGGGGGAAAGAAAGTCTGTCTAGGCTGAGGTGCCAGATGTAGGTGGCTTTCACCCAGCTTAGGTCAGGGTTAGGAGTGGCACCAACTGCATTGAGCAAATTTATGCACGTTCTTCCTTTTTTAAAAATTCAGATCGAGGGGCTGGGGATTTAGCTCAGCGGCATAAGCGCCTGCCTTGCAAGCAGGCAGTCGTGAGTTCGATCCCTGGTACTGATAAAAACAAAAAAGACAAAAAAAAATTCAGATCGAATTCACACAACGTTTGAAACGATAGTGAAGCGTATCGTGAAATCGCATTGCGGTGTGACTCACGTCTAACCAGCTGTCGAACGTTTTTATCACCACAGGAGAGCTCTCACCCTTTGCGCGGCTCATTCCCTCCTGTGCTTGGCCCTATGTAGCCTCGCCCTTCCTTTCTCTGTGGCTTTGCCTCTCTCAGACCTACCTACGAGAGCCCGCAGGTCTGCCGGGCAGGCGGGCGGGCGTGTTCTGGGTTGCAGCAAACCTTCCTCCTTTCCGTGGCCGAGCACTCCCGCATTTTCTCTGGCCCGCGTCGTCAGGCATGGGGCTGTGTATTGGCAACCTTCCCTTCACTGAGACAGAGTCCTCACCTGCGACTTCCAGAAGAGGTTTATTGGAGCTTGCAGTTTTTGGAGGGCTCAGTCCAAAGTCGGTGAGGTGGGGTGGGGGTCTCCAAGGCAGGGAGGATGTGGCACAGGGGAGCACTGGCGCTTTGGGAGTGAGCTGCTCACCACCTGGCAGCCAGAGGCTGGGAGAGAAGGGTGGAGCCAAGGCTAGTGACCACCTCTTGTCACTGGGTTCCCAGGACCCCTCTCTGAAACCGGAACAGCTGTTCTCTGGCTGGCTGCCTAGTGTACATGTGTGGGATCCTTGGGCTCTCCTCCTGGAGTTGGACTTGCTGTGGCCTTTGGTGGCTCTTGGTGTACCATTCCAAGGCACAGCCAAGCCGCCTCCCGTGGGCTGTGTCAGTTACCGTTCTACTAGCCCCGCCCTGCCCTTTTCTCTCCCCTTCCTTCTCTTCACCTCTTGTTAATTGAAACAAGATCCCAGCTGCTTTGGCTGGGCTGGAACTTGCAGTCCTCCTGTCTTCTGATTGAGCAGAAAAGAAGGGAACTCTTACTCCAACAGTCCGAGCAGGTTTATTGCTAAACTCTGAGAGGGCCCTTGCAGGCTGAGGCTTTTTAAAATATCACTTCTTGGCCGGCTTTTGAGGGAGTGAAATGGTGGGCTCTGTGAGCTACTGACATGTCCCTGGGAGCTGCTCGTGGCCTGCCAACATGTCCTCTGTGTTTCTCTGAGACTGCACATGGGCTCATTCAAATCAGCGTCCCTATCCAGGCTCTGCTCTATCACTGACTCCTTACTGTTCTCTCTCTGTCTCTCTGTCTGTCCCTGTCTCTCTCTTTAGTGGAAGAGGGTGTAAAAAAGTGTCTCATTGTGAGTGCTTTCATTTTTATTTTTCCCAAGTCTTTTCACGGGGAAACACTCTTACATTTTAAGCAAGTATGTGTCTTCATTGGGGAAATGAGACCATTCATGTTCAGAGTTATTCCTGAAAGGTACTGACTTATTCTTGTTATTACATGATTTTCCTGTTGCTAATTTTATTTTTCCCCTTCTGCTTAATTTCAGACTCTGCCAAGTATATCCATCTTGTTTGACTGACTGCCATTGTTGGTTTTAGTGCCTCTTTCTGGGGCAGACACCCTTGAGAGTTTTTTTGTAGTGTTGGTCTGGGGGTCATGAGTTCTTGAGGCTTTCCTTGTCATAGAAAGCTTCATTTCTCCATCCATTTTGAGGACACTTTAGCAGGATGTATAAATTGGGGTTGGAAGTTGTCATTTGGGGCTTGCAGCCCTGCCGGCCTTTAGGTTAGTCTTGGGAAGGCTGCTGTCATTCTCATGGCTTTACCTTTATGAGAGATCTTTGCTTTTCGCTAGAAATGCTTAGGATTCTGTCCCTGTGTTGGACATCTGGGATGTTGACTGTGACATGCCGTGGAGACAGGCCAGGGAGGAAGTCCAGTCTCCTCATTCCTTTCTCGGCGCTGTGGTCCATCTCTTCAGCTTCTCTGTAGCTTTTAATTTTCTCTGTCAGTTCCTTTCTGATTCCTGAGGATCTACTTCTCTTGTTTTTCTTCTCCAAGTTGTTATTGTTTGAGTCTCAGAGATAATTGTATTGCTGCCGCTCACCACCCTGCTAGTTTACATTTTACTTTTTCGTCCTGTTTTTAAACCTACCGCAAGGCACTTTCCTAATTTATACTTTTGCCTCAAACATGATTAGGTGAACTTAGGAGCAGTACCAGAAGACATAGCTATGTAACATTTACGAAGTTCTCCTTTCTGCCACGTCTTTGACCACTGACCTGCTCTCAGAGCAAGCCAACACACAATCTTTCTTTGGGTTTGATTTGTTTTGTTTCTGGTTTTTGAGACTGAGTCTCGCTATGTATTCCAGGCTGCCCTTGGAAGCATGAAATTACCGTACACTGATATCTTGGTTACTTTTCTCGTTGCTGACACAAAATGCCTGATGCCCAAAATTAGGGAAGAGAAGGTTTATTTAATTTTTCAAGGTCTCAGTCCATACTCATCTGGCTCCAAGGCAGGGTGCTATGCCTGAGAGGCAACTGTTCATGGTGGCTGCAAGCAGCAAGAGGGAAAGGGCAAAAAAGGAGGGGAAGCACTCCTCCTTCCCACTGTTACAATGTATGTCGGCTCTACCCCTGAGTGGGTGCAGCACTCATATCACCAATCCCAGCACTAGACAACAAACCAATCACAAACACTAGATTCAGCCGCGCCCATGATTACATGAAGCTTTGGGGGGCATCCTAACCGAAACCATAACAGCTGTGTAGCTCAGGCTGGCCTCGAACTTACCAGCTAGCCTGCTGCCTCAGCCCCATACCCAACTGAAAAGCACCCTTTCTGGCTTTCCTCAGTTTGGCTGAAAAGGCTGCTCCCATCCTTCCTATATTCCCTCTTTCGGCAGAACCAGTCTTACTGTCTTCTGGTTCCTTGTTGTACCCTTTCTCTTAGGCAGGCAGCAGTTTTGATGTGATGGCCTTGATGTGATTTTCTCTGCTCTCATCCTGGCCTTGCTTTGTTTCTTCAGTTCAGATGTCTTGTTTTTTGTACTGAGATTCAAACTCAAGACCTTGCTCTTGCCAGGCAGGCCCTTATGCTGCTGAGCTGTATCCCTGGCCCTTAGATGTCTTTTTCACCTTTGGACATCCTTGCCCATTAGCTTTTTAAACCTTGCTTTGGCCCACTTTCTCATTCCTCTCCTTCCAGGCACAGGTTACAATATGGGCTCATGTCAGATGGCTGGTTCAGCCACTGAATCTTTCTTAGCACGACTGGGGAGGTTAGAGGTATTGTGGTTTAGATCTGAAATATCCCCCCAAAGTTTCGTGTGTTTGGGGGAGGGTCTGGTTGAAGAAAGAGAGTCACTGGATTGTGACCTGGAAGGATGGATTCTTGTCCCTCACCTTCCCTGCTCCTTCTGCTTCCTGGCTGCCATGGAGTGAGCAGCTCTCCTCCACAAAGCTCTTCTTTCATGCAGTTTCTGCCTTGGAGCCAGCTGACCATGGACTAAATCACCCCAAAACATGAGCCAAAAAGGAGCTGCTTTAAATTATGGGTACTGAGTATTCTGTCCCAGTGATGGGACAGTGACTGAAACCCTGGGGCAGGAAGCACAGCAGGCAGCAGCCAGTGGCGAGAATCTTTATGACTGCCATTAAGGGGGTAGGGACTCCCAGATGGTAGTGCTGGGCTTTCGCCAAGTGCCATGGACCCTCTGAATGGACAAAGTAGGGGTCCATGGTACAACCAGGAGAGACCATCCAGAACCAGGTGGGCCTGAGGGGAAGGGCACTGCTCAGCACTTCAGATTCCTCATGGCCTGACTTGCACCGTGTGCTGTCCACTGTTCCCTGTCTTCATCTCTGCCCTCCTCTGGCCCGCCCCCTCTTCTACCCTTCCAAGACTCACACATCACTCACCTGCTTGCTCTTTAGTCTCTCTTATGCATTCAGATCTTTGGCACAGCCATGTCCCCAGCAAGGATTTCCATCTTGCGGGCAACATACCAGGGCTATACACATACCATGTCATACAATACCTGAAGCACACCTGACAGGGCGGTGGCATTCAGTATGATTATTACTCTCAGCTGCAGCCTGGCACAAACAGGTTCTCTAACTTGTCCAGGCAAGTGCCAAGGAAGATGCATCAACCCACAGTGACGCAACCCCAGAACCTGCTGGGAGCCCCTGTACTGTAACACCAGTCTCCTCTTGGCGTCTCAGCCTCCCTGGATGTGTGGTCCTTCCCTTGGATCCCTCACACTGGGGAAGGCTGTTTCCTACTGGCCCTGGCCAGCTGTCCCTGGCCACAGAAGTGGCTCCTGCCCTCCCCTCCCACCAGTCTCCTTGGGGACTTCCAGTGTCCACACTGTGCCAGACGGAGTCGGCCTTGTGGAATCAGCACAGTTCCTCCAAAGGGCTGCACAGGTCCACTCTGCATGGCTGGCCTCCTGCTCCCCCTCCACCTCCATCTGCGCCCACGTTGTTGCTTGCTCCAGCTCAGCACACACTGCCTCCCGTGGTGCAGGACCTGCCTGACTGTATTGGAAGCTGTCCACCTGCTGCCCTGTGTACACATGCTAACATCTGCTCCTAGGGGAGACTGCTGTGTGGGGGTCTCCCACCTTTGGCTGTGGCCCTCCTGCCTGCCGAGTGACCTGGCACCCAGCAAGCCAGGGGGGCTTGAGCCCTGTATCAGAGTCCACTCCAGGTGCGGGCCTGTGGGTCCTGCTAAGCTTGTTAAGAGCCACTTCTCAGAGTGGTCCAGAAAATGGTCTGAAAAGAAGTGGTTTGCATGAGAGAAAGGGAGGTCTTGATAGTGACTGTAGTGTCTTGGGAGGGCTTTGGCTGCCTGGTCGTTGTGTATGTGTAAGAGCATGTTCTTGGGTTGCTGTTTCCTTTTACGACAGCAGGAGCGCATGGGAAAGGCTAGTGCATGGTGGGCAGGCTTCTGCTGCCCGAGGACAGGAGACTGGGCTAGCACAGGAGACAGGGAGGCTGGGAGAGGGAGGGAGGGACACAGGAGGGCAGGCCAGAGGGATGTCTTCAGGAGAAACCGTGTGTTTGGCAGGGCAGGGAGGAACGGAGGGAGGCACCGACAGCGAAGATGTGTTGAGACTTGTTTTGTACAGGTTCTGACTCCCCAACTTGAATGTCTTTGCAGCATGCACTGCAAACATGAGCAGTTAGAAATTAAGAAGACTGGGGGCTGGGGATAGAGCTCAGTGGCCCAGCATCTGCCTGGCAAGTGCAAGGTCTTGAGTTTGATTTCTGGTACCAAAAAGAAAATTAAAATGACTAAATTGTTTATTAATATCTTTCATTTCAAGCACCTATTTTTGCATTCTTATAAATCTCATGATGATGCTACTGTTAATTGACCTCATGTTCATGCTGGTAAGATTCATAAATACATGCTTCATCATAATTCATATCCTGAGTATCTGGAATGAATGATGGCATTGAGGAATGTATTTTGGGGGCTGGCACGATGCCGTGATTCTCTGATGTGCAACTTTAGCCCACTTGTCACTAGCTCTTCTCCCCTGGGACCTGGGGCCCAGCCTAGTGGAATGGTCCTTGCAGTGTACCGTCGGGAGCTGCCATGCTAGTCAGCTGGCCGTTACCATGACAGTCTGCTCAAAGGGAGTAAGTTTGCTTGTGGCCCCAGGTTCAGAGGCTTCACGTCGTCTGTGGGCCCCACTGCCTTTGGGCTTGTGGTGAGGCAGAAACTTTGGGGCACAACCTGGAGTTACCTACTTCCTCCCAGGAGGCTCCTCCCACCTCTCCTGATGGCACCCTAAATCCCTGCCTCATCCACCCAGCACCTCTGAGCCCCCTCTGAGCACTGCTGCTTCAGGGATCAATCCTCCACAATTGAGCCTTTAGGGCCCTTTCAGATCCCGTGTACTGTGACCAGCTTCCAACAGCTTGGCTTCCAGCAAGTGAGCTGAGCGTCTCCATGTGGGAGTTTGGCAGGTCCTTGGGGTGGGCCTGATAGCAGTCCTTGCTTGCCCATCTCTTTGCACAACACTTGCCACGCATGCATGAAAGCCTGCGTTCAACCCTTAGAGCCTCCAAAAGAAAGAAATGAAAGAAAACTTCCACAGACTCAAGCTCTGCCCCCCCCCCAACCCTTATCTACTAGCTTCACTGGCCTCATTTGCTTATTTGTTTGTTTGGTACCGGGGATCAAACTCATGGCAAGGCAGGTGCTTATGCCACTGAGCTGAACCCCTGGCCCTGTTTGTTTGTTTGTTTTTTCTTTTTTTTTCGTTTTCCTTTTTATCGGTACCGGGGATCTAACTCAGGACCGCCTGCTTGCAAGGCAGGCGCTTACGCCGCTGAGCTAAATCCCCAGCCCCTGCTTGTTTGTTTTTTGAGACAGGGTTTCCCTATGTAGTTCAGGCTGGCCTAGAACTTGATGCGATCCTTCTGCCACAGCCTCCTAAGTGCTGAAATGACAGGGGTGTGCCGCCACATCTGGCTTCATTTGCTTACCTTGTCCATGCATGTTTTCATCCTTTGGATACTCAGTGTTTATAGACACAACAAGTGGTGTTTTACTTGTGTTTTTCTAACATCTCTACTGAGAAACAATTTGCATGTCATAAAATACACTATGTTAATTGCATTTCAGTGGTTTTTATTAAACATACTGAGTTGAGCACCCATTACTACAACCCAGTTTTTGGTTTTGTTTAAATGATAGCTGTATTAAATATAATTTGTGCCCTATCAATCTCATCCATTTGAAGGTACAATCCAGTAGGTTTTAGTGAATTCCCAAAGTCGTTCAGTCACCCTTACTGTCTTGTCGCACCCCAAAGAACCCTGAGAGCAGTAGCACTCACTCTTGGCCCTTCCCTAGCCCCACCTTTGCCTCGAATCTGCCCGTCTCAGTTCCAGACATTGCATGCCAGTGGCATCACGCACTGTGTTGTCTTCCATGGAAGAAACGCTGGGCCCAGGAGCTCTGCATTTTGGGGGGCACCTGTGGTGTGCAAGTTAAGCTCTGCAGGACAGTCACTAGAGAGACCTTACATGGAAGACAGAGCAGCCAGTGTGCTTGTGACAGGAGGTGGCCTCTCTGATGGAGCCCAATTGAGAAGGGGGCTGGGGGTGGGGCCACTGCGAGCCCAGGAGCAGCCCTAGGGCCTGAGCGTGCTCCTGTCTCTCTTGCTCCCAAGACGCACACTGGTGGTGGAACAGGTAGACAGCCACCTGCAGAGGCATCGTGATGAGATTTACCACTTCCAGCAGGGCCTGGCCTGCACGGAAGAGAAGATGGCCTACCTGTCCTACGAGTGGGCCAAGGAAATATGGGTGAGAGGGCCCCTCCCCACGGCCTCCCAGGCCCGAAGCTTTGCTGTCACGGGGTCCTTCTCTGCCCAGGCCACTGCCTGCTAGTGTGGCTGCTGTGGGAGGGCAGAGCCTATGGCCTGAAGAGCTGGGGTGGGAACTGTCACCCCTGGAGGGGACACTGGTACTGCTGGTGCAGGGAGGGCCTCGCCCTGGCCTCCTGCTCTGTACCCTCTTTGGATCCCTGTCTCCTCCTCCTGCCCTTGATTGGCCCCTGCCCACTGTCTCTCAGTTCCTGCTGCACTAGGCAGGCTCTGTCCTGACATAGGAGGGCACGTGCATGTGTTTTTGCTGCCTACAGGAGGTCATGGAGGTTTTCAAGAGCCGGCTGGCCAAGCTGGAGGCCCTGCAGCAAACCGCCCAGGTGGAGGTGACAGCACGGCTCCGGAGCCGCCCCGGGGAGCTTCTGCTCCAGTTCATGAGCCTGCTGCTGGTCCTCGCCTGTGCCACCCTGGCGTGCGTGTCTACCATATGCTCCTGCCCCCTGCCCTGGGCTAGCAGGCGCCTGCGTATGTGCACGGTGCTCACTCTGCTTGTGCTCGGGGCCCTGACCTGGCAGAAGCGACACGTCATTGCTACCACAGACTGGCAGGTGTGGATCCCTTCCAGGTGGAGACCAGATGCCAAGAATTCCAGGCCTTCGCCAGGAGGACCTCACAAGGATGGAGGGCCACCCACCACCTGAGTCCTGAGTTGTCCCCCCCCATTCGTTCCCAGCCCTCACCAGCAGACCCCCGCCCGCCTCGCACCTCCACTTCCTTCTCCACTTCCTTCCGCAGTGCCTCCTGGAGAGGCAGGCACGGGAGATTAAAGGCCATTCTCACTGCTGTCTGCTTCCCTTGCCCCTTCTCCAGACCCGAGCTGGGGCACAGCGGCTCAGGGCCCCGGGCGGCGGCAGCCCATAACATGGTTGGTTCTGGCAAAGAGAAATTCCATTTATTTCACAGGGATGGGAAGAGAGGGGGAGAGGGGGCCGGAGCTGGGGTGGGTGGGTGGGTGAGGGCAGCCTTCATGCAGGGGACACGGAAGACACGGAGGAGGCCTCTGTCCTGGAGGTGCTGGAGAGTTCGGAGCTGTCCTCAACCTTCTTTCCAAAAAGCTGCAAGATGCAGTTTCGAAACTGGAAGGACAGAAAATGTCACTCAGCACAGTAGGCAGGTCCAGGCCACCTGGTGACTTAATGCCTTTCCGACCCCCACTCCCACTTCTCTGTCTGTAGGGTGAGCGAGGGGGTCAGGTCGCTCCGTGCACACAGGCTAGTCGCTCATGTCACTGAGTTCAGCAGTTGATGGTAGTTGCTGGGGGTTCAGTTGTGTTCCCCAAAAGCTATGTTCGAGTCCACAGCCACTGGAACCTGCGAGTGTGTCCTTGTGTGGACATAGTATTTTTTAAGATGACGCTGGAAGGCTGAGATGGGAAAATTCCAAGTTCAGGGCCAGTCTGGAAAATTTAGCAAGATCTTATCTCAAAGAATAGCAAGCGTTGAGGGCAGAGCTCGGTGACGTAGTACTGCTGCCCCAGTGTCACGAAACCTGAGGTCCTGCCGTCCTGGGGAGAGCAACCTCTGGACACTGTGGCCCAGGCCCAGAGGGAAGAAGACAGAGATAGGAGTAGTGTGCCTTTGGGCCACAGAGTGCCAAGGCTTGCCCCAAGCTTAGGGATGGCTGAGGGCCCTTGGCACCAAGCCGGCTTGCAGGACTCCCATCTCTGCCGTCCAGGCCTCCCGAGTGGCGCCGGGGGTCTGCCTGGAGGCTCAGAGGCTCTGATCCCATCTGTTTGTGCTGGCGATCCTGGGGTCCAGCCTGAACCCAGGCCTCCCTCATTTGAGGCAAGTGCTCTACCACTGAGCTCTGTCCCTGGCCCTCTTAGAACGCTGAGGCAGACTGATTGCCATGGCGACTGCCACCCTGACTCAGCCTCCCAAGTAGCAGGCTGTAGGTATGTACCCCATGCCCAGCACTTGAAGACATTTTAGGGAACAAGGATGTAGGCTCGAGATAAGGACACTGCAGCCACCACCCTTTCCTGCACCAGCAGGGCCTGTTCTACTCGTGTGTGACCCTTGGTAGCATCCAGGCCTGTTCCTTTCACAGCCGAGTCTCACATCAGTACTGTGAGAGTCTCACATCAGCAACCACAGAGCTTTAAGACCTGCAGCGGAGCAAAGCAGTGTTTTTGTATTTCAGCCCCTCCCATCACCCCAACGCTCCACAGGGCACGGTGCTAGTGCCAGGGTCAACGAGGACTGGACAGCTGGCAGGACACGGGGCCACAGGGCTGGCAGGGACAGCTGAGGACTTCAGTCAGCATCAACCTCACCCAGCACCCTTGCTGCGCCAGGTTCTGTGTCTGGGTTACAATTACAAACAGCAGGAAGACAATTCCCTACCCTCGCAGAAGCCTGGACTAGAAGCTTCCCTCCCCATTCAGTGAGATGAGGTGACACTGGAGTGGCGGAGGCCCCTTGGGAAGCCTGCCGAGCCCAGGGGTGCAGACGTGTGTTCTGGAGGGGCTTCCGGAGGGGGAGGAAGCTAATCTGGAGGGGCTGTGCCCAGGGTGGTTCCCATTCACAAGGCACAGTCAGCCCTAAGACCCTGGTGAAGGCAGCGGTTGTGTAGGCACAGGGCGGGCTGCAGACTGCTCCGAAGTGGAGAGAAAGGGTGCCTGCTTTGTGCCCTCGATAGGGCGGAGCCGTGGGGCAGCTTCGAGGTGAGGTGCAGCCCAGAGGCGCAGCACTCGCCCAAGCTCCACCCTGAGCACAAAACCAAATAAAACAGAGAAGATTGGGTGTGGTGGTGCGTGCCTGTTGTTTCAGCACTCGGGAGGCTGAGGCAGGAGAATCACTGCGAGTTTGAAACCAGCCTGCGCGCTACATAGTGAGTTCAAGGCCAGTGTGAACTACAAAGAAGACCCCAACTCACAGATGTGACAGAGAAACTTCTTATAACCTTGGGAGGGTTTAGGACTGGAGGGCTGCTTGCTGCTGAAGCCCAGCCCTCTGGCACATCCTCCTCAAGTAACCTGCGAGTCCATGCAGGCTGTCGAGTTGAAGGTGAGGGCGGCCCAGAGGGCCTGCCTATGTTTCCAGGGGCCAAACTAGAGGACTACTAGGGCTTGTGAGTGGAAAGGGTGGAGAAAGTGGGGTCTGTAAGCATGAGGAGCCTCCAGGGCAGAGTGCTTGTATCCAGGGACCCCTGCAGGCCGGACACAAACAGCTAGCGGTGGCAGGACCCTGGCGAGTGTCCCCCGGGAGCCCTGAGAGCTCTGCACTCTGTTCTGCGCAAGTCTGGAGTTTGCTCACCTGCCGGTTCATGAAGACATAGATGATGGGGTTGTAGATGGTGGCACTTTTGGCAAAGTAGGCGGGCAGAGCAGCCACCAGAGGGTGGAACGAGTAGCCAGGGTTAGCAGTGGCAAAGCACGCGAAGAAGGCATAAGGCCCCCAGCAGAGGCAGTAGGCTAGGACCATCACCACCACCATGCGTGTCACCTCCTTCTCGGCCTTCTGCGTGGATTCTGACTCTTTCTGTTGCTTCGCCACCTGCAGGAGCCAGGCCAGTAAATGTGGACACGTCCACAGCTCTGCTGCTCGGACTGCGAGTCACAGAGGGGGCATGAAGAGAGTGACGGGGCCACTAGAACAGCTGGCTTCCACCCACGGTCAGAGTGGGACCCTCCTTGGCCTCAGAGCCAGACCCGAGGAGCTGTTTGCTGCCTTTGATTCTTGCCAGTGTCCCCTGCCCAGCTCCTCTGCTCTTAGCAGGTCGCTGGGGTGTTGCTGCACAGTGGGGCACTTGCACACATGCACATGCAGCCACAGAACATAAGGATGGGAAGCAGCAGCATAGGCCCGGCAGGAAGCAGGGAGGGGCAGCTCTGGCTAAGGGAGCGCTTAGCAGGGGGCCTGGTGGGACACCAGGGCTCCAGCTCTGCGGGCAGGGGCAGGGGTGGTCACCTGAGGGCAGGGACCTGGGGCAGCCAGCCACGTGGAGTGCAGAAGGCCTGCAACCAGGTGCCTGAGCACCAGTAAGTGGGTCTTGGCTCGGGACAGCTGGCTGCGGCCCCCACTGGGCAATCATGAGCCAGGTCCCCGTGATTAACCTGGAGGGCAGTGAATGCCATGGAGGAGACCCAGCCTCAGCCCCTGCATGTCTGGAGGTGACGGCTGGGGACTGGGTCAGGCCCTCAGGCTGTACAGCTGGAGGCAGGATGAGGAGTCACTTAAGGGCCAGCAGCCCCTCAGCCTTATTCCTTGGGGCTCCCTGAGGGCTGCAGAGGGGTTGAGGGTGCCCCCCATGGGGTTCCTGCCCTCTTTGAGCCTTACCGCCCGGATGGCCAGCCACACGTGCAGGTAGCACAGCACGATGATGCTGAGTGGGGTGATGCAGCAGGTGACCATGAGCACCATCATGTAGGACTGTACGCCCGGGTATGAGGTGCCGCTGAACACGTCGGGGCCGCAGGATGTCTTCAGGCCATAGGGCCAGTATCTGCCGAGCAGATAGTGTCATGTGGCTGCCACCTCTGCCTGCCCCCCCCCCCCCGGGTCTCTCACCATTCAGAGAGAATCCCTGGGTATGATTTTTGTTGTCTTTGTTCATTTTTAGGTCTCTGTCTCTTTCTGTCCCTTTCCCAAAATAGGGATGGAACCTAGGACCCTCATGCTGAGCTACTGCCCCAGACCTTTTGTAATTTTCCATTTGAGACAGGCTCTCACTAAGTTGTTAAGTTGCCCAGGCTGGGCTCAAACTTGAGATCCTCCTGCCTCAGCCTCCCAGGATGCTGGGATCACACATGTGCACCACCACGCCTGGCTTTGTACTGGTAAAACACACGTAACACACAATCTACCATTATGACATTTGGCACTTTAACAGCGTCTGCCATGCAGCTATCGCTGCTCTCTTCGTCCTGGGTGTTTTCTTTCAAAGACAAAGTGAGGCTGCATCTCGCTCGGTCACACCACTTCCACACCACAGACAACAGCCCGACAGTGACCTGGATTCGCTGCTGCGGGAGGCCGGAACCCCGACAGCCACACACCGCGCATGCGCTCTCCATCGGCCCCTGGCGCTCTTACCTGCTCCAACCGAAGATGGGCGGGGCCGTCCAGACGGCAGACCACACCCAGGAGAACACGATGCCCACTATGGCCAGCTTGGCGTCAAACCTCACGTTGCCAAAGGGCTTGCACACCACCAGCCACCTCTCCCAGGAGATGATGGCCAGGGACCAGAGGCCCGTGATGCCTGCGGGGACAGGAGCAGGGCCTTGGAGCCCGAGCGGAGGGGGAATGCTCCCACCGTGGTGGGCAGCATTCCAGGGGGTCCTCTCCCAGCAGACGGCTTCCCAAGCAGGCCTGGCCCTCACCTCTGACCCCGATGGCCTCGTCCCTCCTCCCCCTCTGCCTCAGGCACTCTGGAGCAGAGCAGGCAGAGGAGTGAGGAGACGGGTGCCGTTGGGTTTCTTCCGTGCGGGATGCGTGCACCAGTGTCCCTGGCTCCCTTCGCGGGGCCACCTGCAGAAGGCGTGATTCCCATGCCCCTTCCTAGATGGCAGCTTTTCAGAGTCTCACTTTCTTCACTACGTTGAAACTTCTAGTGTCACTAATGTTTCCAGTAGTAAATACTTTTAACAGTGAGATTTTCTTTTTTGTTGTTTTGGAAAATTTTTTTTTCCTGTACCAGGGATCAAACTTAAGACCTTATGTTTACCAGGCAGGCACTTGTGCCACTAAGCTAAATCCCTAGCCCCCTGAAATTTTTTTTTTGAGATAGGCCTTGTTTTGTAGAAAATTATTTATTATTAATAATCTGAGAGCCAAGTGTGGTGGTATACACCTGTAATCCCAGTACTCAGGAGGCTGAGGCAGAAGGATCTCTACAAGTCCAAGGCCAGCCTGGACTACAGGGTGAGTTCAAGGTCAGTCTTGACTGCATAGCAAGACCCTGTCTCAAAAACTATAACAACAACAACAACAATACTTTCTTTGGTAACTGGTTTTCAAAATAATCAGCTGCTCTTGTGACTCTACAGATCTCATTGTTTGCATTTGAAACATTCCTGGAGGGCCAAGGATAACTGTGGCATAGAAACTTGGGCAGACTTGGTGGCTGGTCAACTCCTGAGCCAGTGAAAGACTCATTTTGAGGAGCCGGGTGTGATGGTGCACATCCTAAACTCACCACTTGGAAGGCTGAGGTGGAAGAATCGCCACAAGTTCAAGGCCAGCCTGCCCTACATAGCAAGACCCCGTCTCAAAAAAACCCCAAAATAAATAAAGTGGTGCTCAGTTGGAGGCCTACACAACAACCCTTATGCCTGTGGCCCCCCTACCCACCCTGTGATCTTGACCCTGGCAAACCAAGGGTGCAGGTTTTCCTACTCACGTGGGGCTGCCCAGCCAACCTTACCACACAGGGAGACGGTGTAGCCCTCCACGACACACAGAGGGTGGCCCAGCACGAAGTAGCCGTAGACCTGGTTCACGACACTGATGGTGCTGGCTATGACTGTTTCTGCTAGGTCAGCCACCGCCAGGTTCACCAGGATCCAGTTCAGTGGGTGGCGCAGCTTCTTGAAGCGCATGGTGGCCACTAGTACAAGCCCGTTGGTAAAGATGGATGCGATGACCACGATGGTCATCCAGGCGCTGGTGAGGTGGTACACCCACCTGGGTGCGATGTGGTAGTTGGGGCCTTCGAAGGGGCCTATGATAGGGGGACAGAACCCCTGTGCGGTGCTCTGATCCCACCTTTCCTGCGCCCCACCCTCTGCCCACCAGGCCTCTCCCGCCTGCATCCTCACCCTGGCCATCCGCTTCCAGATGCAGAAGCCCTAGAGCTGGGGCCGAGGAGGCCTGGCCCTCGGGACCCCTGTGGAGCCTTGCTGCTGCCACTGCAGTCCAGTGGTGGGGTGTTTAGACTCAAACCCCTGAATATCAAGAGCCAAGCCACCCAGAGGCATGATTCTGTCAAGAAGGACTGGTAAGGGACAAATTCTCACTGGCTTCATCACACAATCTAAGTGGCTCAGCCAGATAATAGGTTCAGGGTAAACGTTCTGGGCAGCAGTTTTGGGTGTGGACAGATCTGTGTTGTGACAGCAGCTAATGACACACGGCTCCATTCTGACTCATGGGATGAAGGAGACACAAACACAAACCCTGCTGGTCCACAGTGAGGCGCAACACGGTTCAGGGACAGAGAAGCACAGGGCAGACCGCAGCCCTTCAGTCCTCTGGCATCTGAACAGGAACGTGTGCTTCGCTGGGTTCTGGGGCCACCAACCGTGGCAGTCACTTGGAGAGGGAACTTTGAGGACAGCTCACTCAAGGCCTTGGCAGGGTTTCCAGGAAGCGCATAGGCATGTGTCTTGCCCACCCCAGCCTCCAGCTCCCACCCCCACCTCAGGCTCCAACTCTGGGAAGCCCAAGGCAAGCAGATCCCCAAGTTGCTTGGCAGCCTTTGGGGGTGCAGAGGAAGTCATCAAACTGTTTGGGGATGAATTCTCAAAGCCTGTACAGATAAACCTTCCAAATTTCATAAACTGAACCTATGTGGCCAGGTGTAGTGGTGCACACCTGCCATCCCATACTCTGAAGGCTGAGGCAGGAGGATCGCCATGAGTTTGTGGCCATTTGGGCTACATAGCAAGACTCTGACTCAAAAAGCCAAGAAAAATAAATACATAAGACAATAGCTACAGTAGCTCCCTGGGAAGGGCTGGCCAGTGGTGGCCCAGCGCCCACTCACCTCGCGTGTTGTTGCTGTTGGTGTAGGTGAACAAGCTTGCCTGGGTGCTGTCCTCATAGGCATCCTGCGCCTGTACACCCGAAAGTGCATGGGGGCCCCAGCGCTGGGCCATGGCTGCAAAGGCCCTGTCCCTGCACGCTGCGGGTGGCACCGCGCTTTATACCCCTGTGAGATCAGCTGGCACTCACCTCAGAGGCTCCCAAACTCTTCGCCCTCTGATCCTTTAATTGGGTGCAGACTTAGACCTCCCCTCAGGCCAGACAGCGAGAGCGGGCGGCTCAGAAGGATTTGCGGAGCCTCGATTTGGAGCCCACCTGCCCTGGCTCACGTTCCCTTGGGCAGGGCCAGGTGGAACCTCCAGGTGAAGTGCTGGAGGAGGGCAGCCCCAGCCTCAGGATCCACCTCCTCCCTTTTTTTTGGCTTTTTTTGAGACAAGGTCCACTATGTAGCCCAGGCTGGTCTTATACTTGCAGCAACCCTCCTGCCTCAGCCTCCAGAGTGTACCAGCATGCCCAGCAGTGCCTCTTCTCTGTGGAGACCTGGCAGCATGAGGCCCAGTAGGTACATGTGTGCCATGTCAGTGGGCACCTCTCCTGCCTGCTCCCATGCACCCTCACCCAAGGCTGCCAGGCCACCATCTCCTTGCTGACAGTCCACAGACAGCTGGGGTGCCGCTGGACCAGAGTGCCATCTTGGTTTCTCTCTCTGGAGCCTTGCTCCCCACTCCTGCAGTGCCTCTGCCAGTTCAGCAAAGCTCAGTGCTTGCCTCGTCTTTGGGGCTTCCACAGAGACAGCCACTCCTAGGGTATAGGGGAACCCCAGCTGCTGGGCTTGGGGCTAGAGCCGGGGGAAGCCCTGCTTGGTTCCAGCAGTAATGACAGCTCTAGAATCAGCCAGTGCCTGCCAAATGCCAGGCTAGGGATTGTGGAACAGAAGGGAAGAGTGCTGCCACAGCTCTGCCACTGGGACACAAGTCCACCTAAGAGCTTGTTCGTGGGGAGCCACAGCAGCACTATTCATGGAAAGCCATGAAGGAGAAACAACCCAAGTCCATTAACAGAGGAATTAAACATCGACAGACTATTATTCAGCCATGAAAAAGGAACAAAGCTGACCAAGCTGCACTGTGGCTAAATCTCAGTGCATGATACTAAATGAGAGAAGCCAGACACCACAGCCAATAGATCAGTGACTGCCATGACAGGCAGGAGAGGAGGAGTCCTTAATAGGGTGCAGGAAATTCTTTGTGGGTGATGAAAATTAGGGTTGGAAGCCAGGGGTAGTGGTGCACGCCTGCCATCCTAGCACTCAGGAGGCTGAGGAAGGAGGATCTCATGAGTTTGAGGCCAGTGTGAGCTACCTACTGAGTTCAAAGCCAGCCTAAATTACAAGGTGAGAGCCTGTCTAAAAATAAGTAAAAGAAAAAGATAAAGAAAAAACTCACAACACAAGAAAGAAAAAAGAATCTTAGATTAGGGATATAGCTCAGCTTGCTTATATACATCAGGCCCTGAGTTGAAGTGCCAGTAACTCTGCCCCTAAATGAGCAAACATAAACAGTTTGGTGACTCCTCAAAAAGTGAACCATAGAGTCAACACTTGGTCTAGCTAAGAGATGCTGAGCAGCTCCTCCGCCACAGGCTTGGCCAGGCTGGCACCAGCTGACACACCCCACCCCCAAATCAGCTCTCACTCAGGGAGCTGCTGTAGGAGGCTGGATGAGAGACTAATACGGGTGACGGCGGGAAGCTGGATGAGAGACTAATACAGGTGACGGGGGGCAGTCAGGGTTAGGGTGTTCTCCTCTTCTGCCTTTATTTGCTGCTGTTCAAGACAGGGTCTCACTATATGAACCAGACTGGCCTTGAACTGCTGGGCTGGCCTGTGATTTTAGGTGATCCTCCTGCCTCGGCCTTTTGTCCTCTGCTCTTTCAACTGTACTTCACCTGGGACTCCAAGGCCAATGAGCTTCCTCTCCTACCTCTGAGCCTTTTGGGACAGAGGGGATCACTCAAGTAGAGGTCTGAAGACTGGGTTGGCCCACAATGGTGGGGGCCGAGACAGAGGTCGGGAGGTGGGGGCCGGTGCTAACTGAGGATTGGGGCTAGCAGGCGATCAGAGCCCAACCAGCCTAAAGCAGCTTAGTGACCACCCTCCCCCCACTGGAGTCCCCAAGTCCCCGCACCTGGACAGGCCCATGCTTACAGGGACAGGGAGGTCGGATGTCAGGCTGTCCCTAATCCTCCCTCCCCTCCTGCTGTGCCTCCTAGGCTGAGCTGATTATGATCCCCAGCTGCTTGTCACCTTCATTCAGCCCTCAGCCCTGTCCACTGGGCCAGGGGTTTTAAGGGTTTTGTCACCCGCAGCCATGGCTAATGCAGTTAGAGGACAGAGACCTGGGCTCTTTGCCTTTGATGGTAAATATGCACAACATGAACGAAATGCATCCTCTCCCATGCGGCACTTAAGTGGTGTCATTACCCCGCCCAGCTCCGGGAAGACCTGGCTCCTCACTCCTGCTGCCCTCCATGTGATGTCCCACTTGTGGTGACCTTGGCAACTCCGGGTACCTCCTAGAACCACTTTGCTACAGTTTGTCCTCAGTGTCTGGCTTCTTTCACCAAACACTGTGTTCTCAAGGACCACCTGTTGCCTTTGGTTTGTGCTGGAATACATTCAGATCTGTCGCATTTGCTTTTTCGTTCTTTGAGACAGGGTTTCCCTATGTAGTTCAGGCTGACCTTGAACTCACTAGATAGTCGAGGGTGGCCTCAAACTTGCAGGGCCCCTCCTGCCTCAGCCTCCTGAGTGTTGGGATGACAGATGTGTGCTGCCACACCCAGCCATACTGGGTTTAGGACTCACTCAACAATTCATATCACTTTTCTTTTCTTTTTTTTTTTTCTTTTTCGTTTTTATCGGTACCAGGGATCGAACTCACAACTGCTTGTTTTCAAGGCAGGCGCTTATGCCGCTGAGCTAAATCCCCAGCCCCTCATATCACTTGTCAACCTGGCTGTTGTAGCAACCCCACACCTTTTGGGCTCACCCCAAGAGGGCAACAAGGGCTGCCCAGGGTCCAAATGCAACTCACCAGAATGTGAATGGGTAGAAATCTGGCATCACCCCCCAGTTCTGCTCAGTGTTGAGACTACATGGTCACCAGGGAGAAGACACCCAAGGTTCCCTTAGTTTGCAATATCATGACACCGTACTTAGGAAGAGACTTCAGAATTGCTTTGATTTCCTTCTTTCTGTTTTTAAGTTGAGTTTTGTAGGTGAGTTCCCTCGGTTGCTCCTGAGTCTACAGGTGAATGCGTGCGTGCGTGCGTGCGTGTGTGTGCTTATTAACAGGGATTGAACCTGGGGCCTTTGTACCATGCTTGGCTTTGCACGCAGTATTTTGTTTCTTTGTTTGTTTTTTGTTTTTAGTCCACAAAATTGAACTCAAGACCTCGTGCTTACCAGGCAGGCCCAGTGTTTATTTTTACTTATTTTCCGAGAAGCACATAGATTATATGAGGTACAGTGAAAACAGCACACACCGAGAGGAAACAGAACGCAGGTCCTTAGGCCAGACGTCCCTGTGCCCGAAGCTGGAGCCGTATATGCAGCCCTTAAGATTGCACCAGTTTTTAAATTGATTTTTGTTCTCATCCTTGAAAAACTGCTTCATGCCAGACATGATCCCTATTTACAGTTGGATGTGGAAACAAGCCCTAGCTCGCTCGAACCGTAGAATTTCCCCAGTGGAGCTGTCTTTGTCGTCACCACAGGATGACTGTCAAGTGTGAGCTGTTTCCATCAAACTTCAGACAGGCCCACCACGGACTGGACTTGGCTTGGCTTTGAAGCTGGGCCGTGCCAGGGACCAGTGTGTCTGTCTCTTGGCCTCTTGTCATCATCTTCTTCCTCTTCCCCTTTTCTTCTTTTGTGCTGCTGGAGATTGAACTCAGACTCTTCGCAGTGCTCTGCATCCCCAGCCCTTTGCAGGTTTTTATTTTGAGAAACTATGTCACTAAGTTGCCCAGGCTGGGCTCAAACTTGAGAGTCTTCTGCTTTGACCTCCCTGAGTGCTAGCATGGAAAGGTGCGTGCCATGGTGTCCAAAGCAGTCATTTCTTAATATCCTGGGACTCGGGGCACCCTTGCTGGGGTGTGGGGAGCAGTGACCCAAGACGCTCCCCCAAGACGCCAGACGTCCCCAGGTGGAGTGCTCAAGGCTGAGCAACTACGAACAGCAGACACCAGCACCACAGGCCATGCGCAGGGCCTTGTGAGCAGGAAGTGGGAGCTGCAGTCCAGGTCACTTTTTAATACATGCATGTGCAGAGGATCCCTACTACCTGACAAAGGGAGCTCTAGCAGGACACAGGGGTGCAGGCCAGTTGTCCCGCACGCAGGAGGCTGAGGCAAGAGAATCCCCGTGAGTTCAAAACCAGCCTGGGCTACATGACGAGACTCTGTCAACTTACAAAGAAGTTCTGAGTGAGATCAGAGTATCTCTGTGTCAGAAAGCGAGGAGGAAAGCAAAAGTATGTGGGAGGGGGCTGGAGGGGCTCCCTTCAGTCAACCCAAGACACATCAGAATTTGGGACCGGAATTCCCAGATTCAAGCCCGCCCAGCCGGGCAAGTCTCTGGCTTGGCGCGTAGGGGAACTCGGAGAGAGGCTCCAAAGGCCTCGCTTTTCTTTTACCGTTTCAGTTCGTCCAAATCGAGGCCGCACCGCGCTGGCTTTTGTCCCAGCTTCTCCCTCCGTCGCTGATGCTGGCTCTCGGGGGCCCTCTGCTGGCGCCGCCTCTCGCATCCGCCCGCAGCAGGGTCAGGCCGTGCCCTGTGTGCTGGGACCTGGACCATTGATGCGCCCTGATGCCTGGGCAGGGACTGGTGGCTTCATGTAGTCCCCAGCCCATTATGTGGAGTTTGGGGCGGGATCGGCTTTCTGATTTCACAAAAGTTATGGGGGAGGGACCTCATGCCTCTTCTGGTCTTTATGCTTCTGAGAGAACTGAGAGAATTTCGGTTTCCCTTCTCTTCCTACCTGGGGCCAGAAATCTGACAGGCATTTCTTTTAAACTAAAAACAAACCACGGTAAAATATGCATAATATAAATTTTACCATCGTAACCATTTTTAAGTGCAAACCGAATGGTGGTAGTATGTTTGCATTGTCTCATTTTTATTTTTGTTTGCTTATATAACAAGCCTAGGTCTCAAACTGTGCCCCAGGCTGACCTTGAACTCATGGTCTCAAAGGATCCTCCTGTCTCAGCCTCCCCAGTAGCAGGGACTACAGGAGCACACCACAGTGCCCACAAAGCTCTATTGAGATCATTGGCTCAATCTGTGGACCAGTTAATTTTTAAAATTTTAATTCAAAGTGGAAATCAGATAAAAATGTATGCCATATATACACAATAAATTTATTGGCAGGATATAGAAATACAACATCCAATTCCATTTCATTGTTTTCCGCCTAGAGGGAAGGAATCCTTGCGGAACCCCGAAGTAGGCCGTGGGGGCTGCTTCCTGGAGCCATGCAGCAAGTGTGGTGGCCTCCTCTGCTATTGTGGATACATTTCCGGATCCGCCTCCTGCTTCCTTTATCTGCTGCTGTGTGGGTTTATTTCCTTATCTGCCCCTTGCCTGTTTCCTTTATCTGTCTGGCCTTTTGTTCCAGTGCAACAAGATGTTTTGTTTACTCTCATTGTTCTGGAACAGGTTATGGCCAGGGGATGCCTGTCCTTTGGTGAGGCTGTCACCCATAGGTCGTCAGGGTGGCTCCAACCCATTTCCTCCCAGCCCAAGCTCAGTCTGGTTCCAGGGCTGCTGGGTCTCAGCTGCGGCTGCACACTTCCCCTTCACAAGCGATGTCTTCGGAAGTGACCTCACACTCCAGTGGCTGCGGTACAGCTGAGGAAGCAATAGGGCTGCAGGGTGGCCTGATGCAGGTGGCCACTTTGTCCCAGAGCCCCACAGTCCCTAGGGGCACAGGAAGGATGCAAGAGGGACACAGTGCTTGCTTTTCATGTGCCACCACATTAGCCAAGTGTCCCCAGACCTGCTATGAAACTCTGGTCAGATATAAATGTGTTCTAATTTGAATAAACAGAAGTCAAGGTGAATGTTGGGCATGGTGGTGCACATTCGCCATCTCAGCACTCGGGAGGCTGAGGCAGGAAGGTCACCTCAAGTTCCAGGCCACATAGTGAGTTCAAGGCTAGCCTGCACTATGCAACAAGACCTGCTCTCAAAGAACCAAAACCAAAACCAAACGAAAGAATGAGCAGTTCACAGGCTGCTCAGGCCAGTGCCGCAGGACACGCTGCCTGGAGGTGCTGAGAGTCTGCACATGTCACCTTGTGTCACTCAGAACAAGCCCTGTCTGAACAGAAGGGCACTGGTCTTCTTAGAAGGCCTCCAGGACTCACAGCAAAGGCTGTGCAGAAGGGCAATGACAGGCTCCCTGTCATCCCTGTGTCTGGGAGGAAACCCTCAGCACAGGCAGAGGGCGTCACCAGTTGTCACTGGGGGTTCTGGTCAGGAAAGGTAGCTTTGTGACAGTGATGTGTCCGTGTCTGTGCTCCATGATAAGTCTGGACGCAGAGGTGTGACCTGGTGGTGGGGTGACAGTATCCTGCTGGCCATCCGACATTTCTTGTGGGCCTGACAAGCTATTTCATGCATCATCACTGGAGCTATTCACAGACATGAGACTGTGTGCTCTGGAATTCACAGGGTAGAGGTGTCACGCCATGTGGCACCATGGTGTGGTGCAAGCCCATTCCCGGATAGCAAAGTGTGCACACTCTTTGTGCAGTAAAAAGCACATAACGTGCAATGAAACATCTTGCTTTTTTTTTTTTTTTTTTTTTTTTTAGAGAGGGTCTCACTATGTAACCCAGGCTGGCCTGCAACTCTCAGAAATCCTCCTGCCTCAGCCTCTCAAGTGCTGGGATGTCTGGCATATGCCACTGTGCATGGCTTCAATTCTTAAAGTGTACAATTCAGTGGTATTCAGTAAAGTCACAATGTTGTGTGGCCATCAACTCTATGTAGTTCCAGAACATTCTCAGCATCTCTCAACTTGGTGTTTCCTGCTGGCACATGCTGCCCAACCCCTGGAAACCACTCAGCTACCTCCCAAGCCTATGAATCGACCCTTTCTGGGGCTTTCTTTTCTCTTTTACCTTCCTTCCTTCCTTCCTTCGTTTTTTTTTTTTTCTTTTGATTGAAGCCAGGGCCTTCACACTGAGCTACATCCCCAGTCTGTTTTAGTTTTTGTTTTGAGACAAGGTTTTGCTGAATTGTTCAGGCAGGGCTGAACTTACCATCCTCCTGTCTCAGCCCCCCAGAGTGCAAGGATGGCAGGTATGCACCAACACACCTGGCTTCTTTCTACATATTTCATATGGAAGGAATCGTACAATCATGACTTTTTTTTTTCAGTACTGGGGATCCAACTCACAACCACAAGCTTGCCAGGCAGCCGCTTATGCAATTGAGCTAAATTCCTGGCCAACCATGACTCCTTGGGTCTGGCTTTGACCGTGTTTTTGAGATTTATCCAAATTCTAGCTTGGACCAGTACTTTATTCCTTTTTACTGAAACATACCTAGATCAGGGGCGTGTGAACACACAGGTGGGACAGTGCTGGTGGCATCACCAGGAGCCTATGCGACTTGTTCCCAGTGCCCCTCCTTCATTCCCCGAACCATGGGAGGCCAGTAGGTGGGGTGTATGCTTGTGATTCGAGCCCTCTGAGACGTTGAGGCAGGAGGATAGCAAGTTTGAGCCCACCCTGGGAATTTTAGTGACTGGGAGAGACCTTGTTTCAAAATTAAAGAAAGAAAGAAAGAAAGAAAAACAAAGAAGAGAGCTGGAGATGTAACTCAGTACAAAGGCCCCAGGTTCAGTTTCCAGTATCGGCCCTCCTCAATGACTACATAAGCAAGCAGGCATGGTGGTGTCACACGTAATTCCAGCACTGAGGAGGCTGCAGCAGGAGGATCTCGAGTTTGAGGGCAGCCTGGGCTACATAGCAAGTTCAAGGCCTGCTTTGACTGCATAGTGAGACCCTGTCTCAAAAAACCAAAAATAAGATTTTTTACAGGGCTGGAGTGCAACCCATGGCTAGAAGATTGCCTAGCGTGCGGTACCCTGAGTGCGTCCCAGCACTGCCAGAAAAATGCTCTTCCTAGGCAAACCTGACCACTCCAGTCTCCACCTTCCACGCGGAAGGAACTCTGGGTGCCCGCGTCCTTGCAACTGTGGGAACGTGCAAAGCAGCGAGGGAGAGGGACAGAGACAGAGGAAGGACCAGAAGGGAAGAGGAAAAAAAAGAACGAAGACGTGTGACAGCTCCCTGCGACCAACAGGTCACTGCACCACAAACACGGGCTTGCGACATCTGAACACCCTGAAGTAATGGTGATAGGGACTCAATTTAGTTCAACAGACATCTCCGTCTCCATAACCTTAGCCGTGTAGTGTAAGAAATGATAACTTACCGGATCCATAAACGTCAGAAACTTAGGAAGCCCCTTAACTAAAGTTTCTCATACATTAAAAATTAATAATAAGTATACGCATGGTGGCTCACACCTGTGAATCCCAGCATTCGGGAGGCTGAGGCAGGAGTACTGCAGCGAGCTGGAGACCAACCTGGGCTGCAAAGTGAGCTCAAGGCCAGCCTGAACTGCATAGAGAGACCCCGTCTCAAAAAGACAAAAAAGAAGGAAATTAATAATAAATGTCTCTCTAACCTTTGCATTCTGACTCTTGCTGCCATAAAACCGGGAGACCACACCGAGGTGTCTTTAGGCGACAACAAACATGTCATTTATTCGAGTACACCATAAGGGACTCAGAGGTGAGAGTTTTCTTGGCTTCACCAAGAGGAGAACAACCAGTGCCATGCCTTACGAAATGGGGTGCAAAACCTTGGATCACATTAAACAAGAGATCATGTTATTCGGAGGTGTAACCAAAGTCACTCAGTTCGGGCTTGAACGTCTGCAGTTCCCAGCTGTGGGAACTCATGACCCCGCCCCCAAAGTTCGTGCCCACCCATTGGCCCGCTGGCGGCGGAAGGGCGGGGTGACCTTGGGATTCCCAGGCGCTGCTGTTCCCACCAGCGTGGCCTGGGCTTGCTGTTTCTTTTAAAGACCCGCCCCGCAGCGTTAGGGATTGAACCTAGGGCCTTCACGCTGATCTCTTTCCGTAGCCCATTTTCCGGTTTTTATTTTGAGGCTAAGTCCCTAGATTGCCCTGACTGGGGTTGAAATCATCCACCTGCCTCAGCCTCCCAAAGCACAGGTGTGCACCCCCTGCCGGCTCTGCTGAGTATTACAGTCCCGTAAATATTGGCATGGGTCTGTGACACAGTGGGATCCTCAGAGGGCTTCAGAAGGGTTTGTTGTGGGTCCAATAATAACATACATTTCCTTGTTTCTTATCCTATGACTTAGCAATCAGAACATTTAGACATTGAAAGAAAACGTGTAATTCTTTCTTTCAGAGAAAATCTATGTTTAGGAAACAGGACCACGATGTAGATTTCTGCTAGCAGTCTATTTGGTTTTTTATGGCAGTTTACAAATGTTTTACCTTTACTTATTAGCATGTAACTGCCAAGTTCTATTATTTTATTGAATATTTTTCTCCTTTCCTATTTGAGCATTTAGAAATGTCCAGTATACACACGTGTGTGTACACATGCACAAAACCACGATGCACTTCGATCACGAGATCCAGATCAACTTCTTTAACTTATTTCATGTATCTAAGCAGGTTACTGCATCTACAGAAAAGTCAGACTCTGCAGGGTTTGGGGGTCAAGGCCTACATGCTTGGGGGCCTCGCTCTCCTTCTCCTCCTCCTCCTCCTCCTCCTTCTTCTTCTTTTTCTTCTTCTTCTTCTTTTATTTTCTTAGATGAGGTCTCATTGTGTGGTCCAGGCTAGCCTTGAACTCATGTCACCTCCTATTCTGGGGAGACAGGTGTGCTCCGCCAATGGACAGGGGGTTGTTCTTTAAGGAAAAGAATATAAGCTGGGTGGCAAGATGCATCTAATCCCATCACTCAGGAGGCTGAGGCAGGAGGAACACAAGTTCAAGGCCAGCCTGGGTTACATGGTGAAACCCTGTCTCAAAAAAAGAAAGAAGAGGGCTAGGGATTTAGCTCAGAGGTGTAAGTGCCTGCCTGGAAAGTGCAAGGTCATGAGCTCGATACCTGGCACCAAAAGAAGAAGAAGAAGAGGAGGAGGAGGAGAAAGAAAAATAGAGTACAAAATAAGTTGTGAACTTGGATGTTGGGCTGGAAATTGAAATCTTACCAACTTTAAATGTTAAAAAACTAATGAACACCACAGAAAGGCCCAAGCCAGAGAATCATATCATTTCTGTTGCTTCTGCTTCTTCTGCATCCTTTAGGTTGGCTGCACACTCTGGCCACATCTCCCTAGACAGTGACTCTGTCCTTGTCACTTTTGTCACTGGAACACAATCAGGAAACCTCTTGTGGCTCCCAGACAGGGCCAGGGAAGAGCATAGATAGGCAGTTAACTGCTGTCACCAAGCTCCCTTGGCCCTCCTGGGGAAGAGGGGGAAACTGTCAGGACTTTCCAGGCCCTAGTGGCAGCCAACTTGGGCCAGTGAACTCAGGGGAAACCTCTACCCTGTGGAAGCTCAGTCTCACCAGGGATGGTGGCCAGGGTGCAAACCGGCTGTGGTGGCCTGGGAGTGGCTCGGGCAGCAGTGCAGTGGTTCACTGTCTAGAGCAGATGAGTCAGGGCCTGAGAGCCACAGCATGGCTGTGAGGAATGAAGGCTATGCCTGCATGGCGCTGCCCCAGAGGCCTCTAGGAAATGCCAGGCCTGGTATGCTTGGGTGTTTATGTCTGGGGCAGGAAGGAGGGCCTTTCGCTGAGCTCCATTCCCATCCCTTTTCATCTTGACAAGGGTCTCGCCAAGTCATTAAGTTGCCCATTTGGGCTCAAACTCGAGATCCTCCTACTTCAGCCTCCTGAGTGCTGGGGTAACAGACCTGAGCCACACATTCAGCTGGGAACCTTAATTAGAAATAATAACATGGCTTTGGCAAGCTGAGGCAGGAGGACTGCAAGTTTGAGCCCAGCCTGGGATATTTAGACCCTATCTCAACATAAAGATAAGGGCTAGGGCTGGAGTCAGTGCCAAGGCCCTGGGTTACATCTCTAGCACCATCACAAAAGGAAAATAAATTTACTTCAATCAAGTCCAGTTCTCATGGCAAAGGTCTGCTTCAGCTTGAGGAAATTGTGCTTTCTTTTCTTCTTGGAAGGAGTTGTACCAATGTGGGACAGAATCGTGTCACTGCCACTTCAGGTAGTAAACAGTACTGCTGCCAGGGCAGGACAACAGGACAGAGTGGGAGCCACCACAGAACTAATGGCCTCCAGAGAAGCACACACAGGGACCAGAAGAAACTGCTGTGGGTGACGCTGGCACTAACCTTGGAGCCGTGCAGAGGCTAAATTCAGGGCATTAGAGGAGCCACATACTGTGCCTTTCATCCACATTCAATGCCAGCAGTGAATGAAGCTGAGGCAGGAGGATCATGTGACTTCTGCCTACACAACTTAGCAACTTAGTGAGACCATGTGAAAAATTTCAAAAACAAAACAGGCTGGAGATGTAGCTAAACACCAAACTCAATTCAGTCATTCCTCAGTACTACAAAAGAAAAAGAAAAGTCTAAATGAATCCTAGCAAAAGAAATGACCAGTATTGACTCAAGAAAACCAGAGGCCCCAAGTAGTTTATAATCATAAAATACTCAGTTTTAGCAATTGAGTATCTTCCCTCCAAAGCAAACTCCAAGGCGTGCGACAGGCCCATGTCTGTCATCCCAGCACTGGTAGGCTGAGGCAGGAGAATCGCTGTGAGTTGGAGGCCAGCCTGGACTAGATAGTGACACCCTGACTCAAACCACAACAAAAAGCAAACTCCAGGCCTCGATGACTTCCTCCGCAAAATCTACCAAACATTCCTGAATAAAATTTTCCATTTCACACACATTCAGAGAAAAAAGAAGTGTGTGCAGGAGAGAAGAGCCGCAGTCAACATGGCCAGGGCGCAAGAGCTCCTGGGGGCTGACACCGCGCAGCCCGCCAAGGGGCCATCTCGGCTCTGGGCAGCGAACCCCGCTGCGGGGGTCGCTTGCCAGCCGCCCTGCACCAGGGGACACCCCTTGCGGCCGCCCGCGCCGCCACGAAGCACAGCCCCGAGCAGCGGGGAGAGGCTGGACTGTGGAGCAAGCGTTAGCACGCAGAAAATGAAACACCACAGCCACCGCGGGGCCTGGTCTCGGGTGAAAAGACCGCACTTAATAAAGGACGTAATCATCGCTACCGAGGCACAAGCTCATCCAGCGCAGTGACACAGGCCTATGTGGAATGGGGCCTGAAGCAGGAAGCTGCGGAAATAGTCCCGATGTCCCCTGCACCCCTTCAGAGCGCAGAAGAGGAAAGGAGGCCTACCGCCATCCCCAGTTCATCTGACACTTGGTGTTGAGCCTGAGTAGTGCGGTTGGCAAAACAGAAAACAAAAAGGAAAGGCCGATAAGGTGTAGGGGTGCACACTTGTCATCCCAGCAGTTAGGAGGCCGAAGCAGAAGGATTGTGTGGGTTCCAGGCCATCCTGGACTGCATAGCAAGACTCCAAGATGAGAAGACCATGGGCAGGGGAGGAGAGTGGGTTCTGGCAGTGTGGCTTGGGAATGCATGGACAAATGAACTGGCGAGACTGCACTGAGAGCACACGAATGAGCCCTTGCTGCGTGGACACTTGCTGCATGACAGAAGGAGGCATTTACAGCACCGGAGGGAAGGATGAGCCTTTTCATAAGCTGGGCCAGGGCAACCACATTTATATGACGATAAACTGTTAACAAAAAGTAAGACGCTGTAGCTGGGTGTGGTGGCAAACAAATATAATCTCAGCACTCTGGGAAGCTGAGACAAGAAGATTGCAAGTTCCAGCCCAGCACAGGCAACTTAGCAACCCAATGGGTTGGATTTAAAATGTTGATAAATACTCCAGTGTCTAGCGGCAGGGCTTCGGGGGGTGACTGGGTCACAGGCTGCTACAGACTTCAGCGGACTCACCCATGGATGGGTTCATGGCTGATGTGCTGCTGATGGGGGGAGCTGGTTGGTTTCTGCTCCCTGGCTGCCATGGGTGAGCAGCTCTCCCCAACCCGGCCCTTCTGCCATGCTGCTCCCACCCTGAGCAGCTAACCCCGGACTGAGCTCTCTGAGGCTATGAGCCACACAATCCCTCCTCCTCTAAATTGTGCTGCTGGGGATTTTGTCCCGGCACTGGGAAAATGACTTGTAGAGCAACTTACCAAGATTGTCTCTCAAAATTAAAAAAATAAAAATAAGAAATAGCTAAGGACGGAACCTCAGGGGTGAAGGCTTTGAGTTCAATCACCAAGCTGGCAAGAAAGAAAGAAAGAAAGAAAGAAAGAAAGAAAGAAAGAGAGAGAGAGAGAGAGAGAGAAAGAGAGAAAGGCAGACAGACAAGTGCATAAAGAAAAGAAAGGACAGAGAGACAGAGAAAAAACAGGGAAGAAAGGGGGAGACCTTGGCTTCAAAACCTGTGCAAACACCAGTTTCACACAGATCCGGAATCTGAACTGCAGGCCGAGCCAGGACTGTCTACCCAGAGCCCTGGGCAGGGCGGGTCAGGCCTGAAGAGTTGCTCTGGGCGCCCTTGCCTCTGCCCCGGGGGGGCTGCCTCACACTGCTGGCATCCACGCCCCGACAGCCTTCTCTGTCCAGCCACTTGCTTGCCCGCTTGATGACTTGGGTATGTGTGGCCCTTTCTGCAGGCAGGTTCCTCTGTGTGGACAGACGGACTTTGTCCGCAATGTGCCCTTGGAAGGACCCTGGCGCTGTTTCCAGTTACAGCCCCTGTAGATAAAGCTGCTGCACACTGAACAGCCACAGAGAGGTGAAGTCGGGTGGAGGTGGCAGGTGGAGTATCCACAGCTACATCTCAGGGTCCCTCACCGGACTAAAGCAAGAGGGCCACAAATTTGAGCCTGGCCTGAGCAATTTAGTGAGATTGGTTGTGTGCCATAACCATGAGCAGTGACCGTGTCACTCTCGTCCTGCAGAACTTGGGAACTTTCTTCTCTGAGGCAGTGAATTGCTGGGACCACATGCCAGGTCCCAGAGATGCTGGAGTCACAGGCCCTGGGGCCCTGGTGTGGTTCAGTGTGAGGTCCTAGGAGCACCGTCAAAATTCCACTGCACATGTGAGGAAAATAACCCCTTTCCAGTTTCCCTCACTGAGACATTCTACATCCCAGAAACAAAGGGGGGCCCACTAGCTTCCAAAGAGTTCGCTGTGCAGAATGCTGGGAACAAAGATTTCTTTTATTTTATTTTTATTTATTTACTTATTTTTTGTCTTTTTGATGCAGGGTCTCACTGTGCAGTTCAGGGTGGCCTTGAGCTCATTTAGTAGCCCAGGCTGGCCTCAATCCTGCAGCAATCCTCCTGCCTTAGCCTGGGTGCTAGGGTGATAGGTGTGTGCCATCATGCCTGGCTCAATTCTTATATTTCTGTCCATCTCTTCTTCATGTATTTTCCAATTAGTAGTGTTTTCTCTAGTTGGATGAAATACACCCAGTTCATAAAGACTCGGTATAGTCACCCCTTTATGATAACGTGGCCTCCTGATTGCTGTAAAATTATATCTTTTAGTATCACTTATTGTCCTTTGAGTTCTCCTTTGTCACTTTGTCTTAGTTGCTTCCTCGTTACTGGGACACAATACCTGACAACTGCAATTTAAAGGAGAAGGTGATTTTGGCTCCTGTTTCAGAACTCTTAGTCATTCCACGATCACAGCGCATGGTGGAAAGATAGGAGTCAGAAGGGAGACTCACCCTGCAGGCCCCGCCTCTTCCACCCAGGCCCCGCCTCCTAACAGTGAGGGAGGAGCCGGGAGGCAGAGGCATCCTGCAGGCCACGCCCCCAGCTGTCTTGTCCGTCCAGGCCTTGCCTCCTAGTGGTGCTGAGCTTGGTGACCCAGTGGCCTTGGGAAGGGCCCCTGTGAATGCCCGCCTCGGGAAACCTTAACATGTTATGTTGCCCTTTCCACCAATCCAGTGTTCCCGGAACCAAAGGGGGCTGTGGCAAGCCCACAGGTCTCTGGAGGCTCCAGACAAGTGGAGGGCACAGCAGGGGCCCTTGGCTTGTGGACGGCCCGTGGGGTACAGGCAGGTAAGGTGTACCTCCATTGCCTTGTTCACTGGAATAGTATCCATTTTTGCAACCAGGGGTGACCCGGAAAGAGACAACCTAGAACCTATGTCAAAGACTCTACACCAAGCCAAGTGTGCTGGCGTCCTGTGATCCCAGCACTCTGAAGGCTGAAGCAGGAGCATCACCGCAAATACAAGGCCAGCCTGGGCTACATAGCGAGACCCTGCCTCAAAAAACAAAACAAAACTAGTGTGGGTGAGTTAAAAAGTGACTGGTCACTGGGGATGCCTCCGCTTCTAGGAGCTCAACCAGACATTCACCACCAGGAAAACTCTCCTGTTCTTACAGCAGCAGGAGGGGGGAAAAGAATCTGGTTTGTGTGTTGTGTTGTGTGTGTGTGTCTTTCTGAGATGGGATTCTTGCTATGCAGTTTGGGCTGGCCTTTAGCTCACTTTGTAGCCCAGGCTGGTCTTGAACTTGCAATGATCCTTTTGCCTCAGCCTCCCGAGTGCTGGGATTACAGGAGTGTGCCACCATGCCCAGCAAGGAATGTGTTTTTAAATAATCACATGTTTTTTCAAGCACTGAGAGTGCTCATGAACACCTGCAATCCTAGCTATTTGGGAGACTGAGGCAGGCGGATTGCGAATTTAAGACCACCCTGGGCTATATAGCTAAGTACTACCTCAAAGTTAAAAAGAAACAAACTAATTTAAAGTGATAGAGGTGTAAAGTGCTGGTGGAGTACCTCTGGGATCAGTCCCGGGCACAAAACAGTATAAGCAAGAAGAGAGTGGAGGCAAAAATTAAAGTTTGAAGAGAAAAAAATCCCACCATCCTAAAATGTTTTATCCCACACAGTTATCTTTCAAAAGGGAAGGAGAAAAAAGTCAACAAGCAAGTATTGAGGGAATTTGTTGCCATAGACCTGTCTTGCAAGAAAAGTTCTTAAAAATTCTTAGCCAGACATGGTGGGTGCACACGTGGAATTCTACCCTGGGAGGCTGAGGCAGGAAGATTTCAAGTTTGAGCCAAGTCTGGACAACTTAGCATGTTAGGGAGACTCTATCTCAAAATAAAAAAGTAAAAATGGGTTGAGGGTATGGCTCAGTGTGAAGGCCCACCTGGGTTCAATCCCCAATATTGCAAAAATAAACAAATAAATAAAATTTTACAAATTTACCTGATATGCTAAGAAAGGAGAAAACGGGAATCATACAGAATGTTCTATTAAAACAACAAAAGATGGAAAATATGGAAGGCACAAATCAGGTAGGAACAGATAGAAAACAGTGTGACACATGGTAGATAGTAATCCAACTGCCAACAGTGATCACTGTACAGGCCAATAGTCTACATTCACCAGTGACAGTGACAGCACAGGTGTCCCTGGCAGGGGACACGCCACAATCAAAAGGTACCACAAACAGCTCATCAGAGTGGGTCCAGACAAAACCCCGGCTAGGGATGGCAAGTGCAAGGTCCGGAGTTCGCTTCTGGTACCAAAAAAGAGAAGAGAGAGAGAGAGAGAAAGAGAGAGAGAGAGAGAGAGAGAGAGAGAGAGAGAGAGAGAGAGAGAGAGAGCGAAAGATCAGGAAGGACTTGGCTGAATGTCAGTGTACTGGATCTCACTGGCGTCGGCCACCTACACAGTCCTCAGACTCCCGGAGAGCAGCCACCAAGAATGCCAGGGTCCTGGCACCAAACAAGCTCACACATTTCCAAGAACAGGTTCAGACTGTAGCTCTCAGTCCACGAAGGAAATAAACTAGGAATCAACAACAAAATGATAACTGGAAAGTCCCAAAATACACAGAGTTCTCAATAATTAGAACATGTTCTCAATAATACTTGGATCACCAAAGTGATCTCAAAAGAAATTTTAAAGTATTTTCAAGTAGCTGGGTGTGGTCAGGCACAACTGTAATCCCACCTCTCCAGGAGTCTGAGGCAGGAGGATGGGGGAACTTAATGGTTTAGTGAGATCCTATCCCAAAAGAAGGCATAAAATAAAGCGGATGAACGCCTGTCATCTCACCAGTCAGGAGGCTGAGGCAGGAGGATTGCAGCAAGTTCGGGGCCAGCCTGGGCTACAAAGTGAGTTCAAGGCCAGCCTGAACTATACAGACAGACCCTTTCTCAAAAAAATTAATTAATGAACAAATCAGTGGAGTAGGGATGTACCGCAGTGTAGCTCATTGAACCCTGGGTTCAATCCCTGGTTGAAAAATCAAACTGAAAATGAAAATACAACTTGGTAGAACTTTTGGGATGCAGTTTAAAGGAAATTTACAGTATCAAGAGTGTATGTTTAGAAAAGAAAGAGATCTAAAGTGAATAATGTAAAATAATCTAAGCATCCACCATAGGAAACTAGAAACAAAAAGAGCCAATTAAATCCATAAGAAACATGAAAAGAAACAAGAAAAAGTAGAGCAGAAATTCATGAAATTGAAAATAGGAGATCAATAGGAAAAAAATCAATGACCCCAAAAGCTGATCCTGATATAACTGACATTAATCAGCCCCTCAGCACCTAAGAGAAAAAGGACCCGATTTAATATCAGAAGTGAAGGGAAAGGCACCTAAGGAGTCTCCTGGCGATGAGGAGGACAAAGGGCAGCACGCGCGCGGCAATCTGCTAACCTCGCTGAGACAGAGCCCACCTGCCGCAACCCACACAGGAAGAGACAACCGACTGAGCCTATAAGTAAATGGAATCAGCAGTCAGGATGCCACGTGGCTGTCATCCCAGCTACTTGGTAGGCTGAGGCAAAAGGATCACAAGTTTGAGGCCAGCCTGGCCAATTTAGTGAAACTGTGTCTCAAAAAATTTGAATCAATAATTAAGAACCTTCTAAAACAAAAAGCATCAGCTGGGCATGGTGGTGCACACCTGTCACTTAGCACTAGGGAGGCCGAGGCAGGAGAATCACCACGAATTTATGTAGAGAGACCTTGTCTCAAGAAAACAAACAAATAAGAATTAAACAAATAAAATGAGACTAAAAGCACCAGATGGGTTTATTGGTGAATTTTAACCAACTTTAAGGAAGAAAATTTACCAATTCTCTATACATTTGTTCAGAAGAAAGAAGCTAAGGGAATATTTCCCCCAAGTTACTGTATGAGCATGATGTCACCTTAATACAAAATCAGAAAAGTCAAGGGTGGACCAATATATTTCATGAGATAGATGCAAAAATCCTGAACAAATTGTTAGAAGTCAAAGCCAACAACCTATGAAAGTCAATATACACCCAAGTAGAATTTACCCCAGATAGGTAAGGCAGGTCCCACACTTGAAAGTCAATTAATGATGGCTATTGGATCACAGGCTAGACAAGAAAAATCACACTGCTATCTACATATGCAGAAAAGCACTTGACAAAACCTAATAACCATGCACACTAAAATAAAACCCTGACTATACTGGAATAGATGAGCGCGCCCTCAGCTTAATAAAGAATATCTACAGAAGCCACCACTGAGAGAGAGCACAGCACCCCTGAGGGGGAAAATGCGAAGCTCTCCCACCAAACTCAGGAGCCAGGCAAAGATGGCTCTTCTTCAAACTGGAAGTCCTCTTAATGCAACCAAATTAGATCGTGAAATAAATGATTTACTGATGGAGGAGAAAGATATAAGACTGTCTCCATTCACAAATGACATGATCTGGCTGGGATGCAGCTCAGTGGCATAAGCACTTGCCTGGCAAGTGCAAGGGCCTGCGTTTGATTCCCGGTACCAAAAAGAAAAAACAAAACAACAACAACAAAAAAAAAACCCCACAAATGATATGATCATCTACACATAAATTGAAAAGAATTAACTGCAAAACTCCTAGTTCTAATAAATGATCATAGCAAGGTTGCAGAATACAGGTTAATATACAAAGGTTAATATACAAAGGTCAATTGCTTCTCCCTATAGCAGCAAAGAATGAGTAGAATTTAAAATGAAAAATACCATATATATATATATATATATATATATATATATATAGTCTTTTTGAGACAGTGTATCTCTATGAGTTCAGGCTAGTGTTGAACTCACTTTGTAGCCCAGGCTGGTCTTGAACTCGCAATAATCCTCCCGCCCCAGCCTTCCGGGACTACAGGTGTGAGCCACCATGCCTGGCTGCCAATACATTTATATTAACAGCACCCCAAAATGAATAGATTTATTTAGCTACAAATCCAACAAAATAAGCCCAAGATTTATATGAGGTAAATTGCAAAACTCTGATGGAATAAATCAAAGAATAAATTGATGGTGAGAAATCCCACGTCCATGACAGGCAGACTCATGGAGGCTAACATGTCCATTCTTCCCAGCTCATCTGTAGGTTCAATGTAATCCCTACCCCAAATCCAGCAAATTAGTGTCTGTGTGCTGATGTACTGACCTTCAGGTTTATAGGGAGAGAAAAAAGATGTGGAAGGATCCACTTAATACTGAAGAATTAGAAGAGAGTTGCAGGAGCAACTCAATCCAACTTCAAAACCATGTGTAGTAAAAGGAAAATTAAAAGTTTAAATCAAAGCCTGCCAAGACCAGGCAGACATGTCCGTGTCCAGACAAACCTGATAACAGAACATCCCTTCCTTTGTGTAACCCAAACTTGTGTAACCGATGGCCTTGCAAAGTAATCTGAGATGTTTAAACTCCTTCAGCAACCTGTGATGTCATCTGACCCTCCAATCAAAATGCACTAAATCTACCATTGTACCTCCAGCTTGCTCTCCCTATAAAAGCCCTGAAACCCCACCGGGGGTCTTTGGGAGAGATCCCAGTCAAGCCCACCGGTGTGTGCTGTTTCTTCCTGCGTTTGGTCCATTTTCCGTAACAGTACTACCTGAAGAAAATGCTAAGGGCTGGGAGTAACTCAGGGCTGGAGTGTTTGCCTGAGGGGCCTTTGATTTGATCCCTGGAACTGCAAGAAAGGAAAAAGAAAAAGCAAAGGCAAATTGATCAAGAAAACAGAGTCATCTTGGAATAGACCACATAATACAGTCTGCTGATCTTTAGGCAAAAGTGACACAATGGAGAAAAACATTCTTTTCAACAGGTGACAAGGGAATAGTTGAACATCAACCCACAGAAAAGTGAATCTATATGCAGACCTCACAACCATCATGGAAATGAACCCAGAAAGGGTCACAGGCCTCAATGTCAAGGACAAGAGTACAAATAAGTAAAGAGTACAAATAAAGGGCTTTGTAGCTACAATGCCAAAAGCATGATCCATGAAAAAAACCCATAACTTGGACTTCAATGAAATCTTCAATGTGATCTTCAGAAGATGCATTTGGGAGAAGGGAAGCAGAAGCCGCTGCCTGGGGGGAGATACTTGTGAGAGAAGGCTGTGAGCCTTAGGGTGCTAGGCATCGGCCTGCATGCAGTGGTGCACTGCACTTGCTGGGTGGTTTGTAGAGGGATGGCCTTGAGGACTATGTCTGGTCTCTGGTCCCTCTCCCTCTGGCACTGTCAAGCAGCCTTGCTCCTCATGCCCTCGTACCATTCTGTTCCTGCCTTGGAGGGACCATGAATTGAATCCTCCGGAACCATGGGCTCAGTAAAGTCCTCCTGCGTAAGGTGTGGTGTAGGCAACTGTGTCCCAGCAGCCAGAAAGTGGGCTGATAGCAAGGCAGAGCTGACCCAAGACACTCATTCAAAACAGACACAGAATTCTTCCTTTTTGGCTTCTTTTGACACAGGGTTTTCTCTCTGTAGCCCAGACTGGCCTTCAGCTCAAGATCCTCCTGGTGTGTGCCACCCTGCCTGGAACAAAGAACTCTTAAAACTCAGCAAGAGGACAGCAAGTACCTGATTACAAGATGAGTCAAAGATCTTAATGGACACCTGGCCAAAGCAGACAGAGAGATGCAAATAAGTATACAAAGAGATGCTGCACAGCATACGGCATTGTGGAAATTCACATTAAAACAGTGAAGCCGGCCATGCGGCACACACCTGGAATCCCATTGCCTGGGAGGCTGAGGCAGGGGAATCACAAGTTAAAATCCAGCCTAAGCAATTTTGCAATCTAGCAAGGCCCCGTTTCAAATAAAACATAGAAAGGGCTGGGGATGTGGCTCAGTGTGAGCACCCTGGGTCCAATCCCTAGTAATGCAAAAAAGAAAACAATGAATACGCTATAAACTAGAGTAGCAGAAGCCCACGGGGCTGCCCAGTTGCACGTGCAAGGGTTCCAAGCCAAGATCAGGGGACACATGGTCACCACGGTGGGAATGGAAACTTGCAAATCCGCCCTGTAGTCCCAGCCAGCCACGGGGCTTGGGTTGCGGAGAAGTTAGTTCCTGGCTGTGCCAGGCCCGCACACTCTGCTCCTCTCGGCTGCTCCTCGCAGCGGCCTTGCCCTCGTGCCGGGGCAGCAAGACCCTTCGGCACAACACTGCGAGGCAACTTCTGAGCGCGGTCCGGGCTACTGTGAAGGCTGCAGTGCAGGCGGGTCTTGGGCGGAGGGGGGCACATTGCTATGGACCCCTCACAGGCTGCCCTGTCGCCTCTGCCATGAGAGTCTGCAGTCGCACGTCCTGGTTGCCTCGATGTCCTGGGTCGTTGTGACTTTAGGGAAGAGCCGGCGTCTTGAAGGGCCAGACCTGGTGACTGAGTTGGAAGGGGACGCTGTCCTGCCCCTAGAGCCTGCCTTACTGAGGGGGATACAGGCATGGCGACAGGCTTCGAGAGTTTGTGATTGATTCATGGTCGAATGCTGTGGTGATGGGTGTGAGTGCCACACCCACCCAAGGGTGGGTAGCCTACATACAGTATAAGGAACAGAAAGAATCCTCTCTGTGCTCCCCTCCTTTTTGCTCTTGCTGCTTTTACTGTCTTCCACTGTCATGAACTGTTGGTTCTCTGCCACACCACCCTGCCTTGGAGCTGACTAAGTATGGACTGAAACCTCCACAAACTTTGAACTCCTTCAACTGTGGGTGTTAGGTATTTTGTCTCAGCAACGTGAGAAAAGTAACCAAGACAATAGGATTACACTTCCTTCTCACAAGGTCCATTTGGTGACTTGAATGCCATTTGAAAAGAACATTCTTTTTTTTTTTTTTTTTTTTTTTTTTTTTTTTTTTTTTTGGAGACAGGGTCTCGCTATGCAGTTCAGGCTGGCATTGGGCTCACTATGTAGCCCAGGCTGGTCTCAAACTTGCCACAATCCGCCTGCCTCAGCCTCCCAAGTGCTGGGATTACAGGAGTGTGTCCCCTCGCCCTGCTCAAAAAGAACATTCTTACCATCAAGTTTCCAAAGCATTCTTTTTTCTTTCACACCATGAACCCGTGAAACTAGGATTTCATTTTGCTTCTTCCTTTGCTTTTTGTTTCTTTTTTGAGACAGTGTATTGCTATATAGTCCAGGCTGGGCTCAAACTCGTGGCAATCTTCCTGCCTCAGGCTCCCATGAGCTGGAATTACAGGCCTGTACCACCACACTTGACTGTTTCTTACATTGACCAGTTCTATCTTGTATCCTTTTTCCTGATGTTTCTAATTGTTTTTTTATTTTGTTGTACTATTTACCATCATCATAGCCAGCTTCTTAAACTCCCAATCACATCATCTAATATGTTGAATTCACACTTAAAACAAGTGTGTTTTTAACTCTTGGATGCCTCTCTTCCAGAGCCTACCATCTGCCTCTCATCAGGATTTCTGCCCAGCTGGTGTCCCTGGATTTCCTTGTTTCTACTTTCCTGGTGTTGATTCCCTGTTGAGGGTTCCACAGCTTCCTTCTTCTTAGTTCACACCATTGTTCCGCTATTAAACATCCTCAAGTAACTTTCTCAGAAACCATATGCCTTGGTTACTTTTTGTGTTGTTAAGACAAACTACCTGACACTTATTGTCAAAGGAAGCAAGGTTTATTTGGCTCACAATTTGCAAAAGTTAGGGTTAGGGTCAGTTCATGGTGGGAAGAAGCAGCAAAGTAGTGGATCAGCAAGCAAGAAGTAACCTTAGCATCCCTGTTTTTGTCTCATATTCTATCCAGGCTACACACCCTGATGGTGGGTAGCACCACTTGGATGCAAGTGGGCCTTCCCATTACCCACACCCAGAACTGTACAAACCAATCAGTGGACTAAACTAGTATCACACAGTCTAGATCCCCCAGCCACCTCTGAAAAGCCCCCACCTATGGCTGTATGAGGCTTTGGGGGGACATCTAGATCCATATCATAACAGCATAATTGATTGGTACATTTACTTAGCTCTTGTATATCTAGAAGTATTTTTTCCCGTCATTAACTTGGTAGGGGTTTTGGCTGGTATAGGATTCTATATTGAAAATCATTTCCTTTGGAATTTTTTTTTTGGTACTGGGCTTGAACTTGCAACCTTGCACTTGCCAGGCAGGTTTTAGACCACTGAACTAAATCCCCAGCCCCTTCCCTTTAAATTTGAAAGCATTACTTTATCATCTTCTCTTGAAACACAAGAATTTCTCAGAACTCCATTGCTTCTTATTGCTCATTGTCTAGTGATGTTATGAAATCTACTGTTATTGATACCTGTTCTTTTTTCTGTTTTAGTTTCCAAAAACTTGTTGCTTGCTTGACTTTCTAGATCACCTCTCAGGTCCTTATATTTTGTGTCATATCTTTTGTCTTTGCTGTTTTGCTTTATTTTCTGGGTAGCTTCTTCAGCTTTATTTTACACAAGTTTTGTTGGAATTTGAGCTACAATAATTATTTTTTGCAAAGCTGGGGACTAACCCTGGGGTCTTGTACATGCTAGGCAAACACTCTTCCCCATGAGCTCCACCCTCAGTCCAATAAGCATATTTTATTTAGTAAGAATTACAACTTCTCTGATTGCTCTTTTTATACAGTATTCTGTTCTTGTTTTATGAATACAATATTTTCTTTCAGTTTTAATATACTAATTTAAAATGTTTTCATATATGCCCTGCATTTCCCAGCCTTCCAAGCTCATTCTGTGCTTACCTTGTCTGTTTTTCAAGCTGAAGGCTTTCTTCCTATTTGTTTTCTTTCTTTCTTTCTATTTTTTTTTTTTTTGTCTTTTTGAGACAAGGTCTCATTATGCAGTTCAGGCTGACCCTGGGCTCACTTTGTAGCCCAGGCTGGTCTCAACTTGCAATGATCCTCCTGCCTCAGCCTCCCGAGTGCTGGGATTACAGGGGTGCACCACCATATCCGGCTTTCATTCCACTTCTGATGATCCTCATGGGTGGGCTTGTATCCAATAAAGAATGACTGGAGCTGGGTGTTGTGAGTTCGAGAGCAGCCTGGGTTACCAAGTGAGCTCAAGGCCAGCCTGAACTGCGTAGTGAGACGCGGTCTAAAAAAACCAAAAAAACCAAAAAAACCCAAAAACCACTAATAGGCTAGAAAGCTATTGTGGATTGATTTCACGTGCTGTTGGGTGGATGGGGCTGTCTCCCTGCCATGGCTGTCCTGTGTGCTAAACAGGGGCTGTAGAGTGTGGATCAGGCCCCCACAGGCTAGGATGAAGGAGAAACTGTTCAGGGCCAGTCAGTGTCCATGCTGGAGCTCTAGCTCTCCACGGACTTCATCATACTCCTTCTCCTCCTCCCCTCCCCTCCCCTCCCCTCTCTTCTCTTCTTTTGGCTCTCACTCTCACCTTCTTATTCTGGATGACAGGAAAACACCACCGGGGTGGGAAGAGCGCCCAGGCGGCCTCTCCAAGCCACATCCCCTATGATCTTCCAGCCACAGTGCCTCCTTATTGGTCCCCAACCTGTCAGGCACAGTCTCTCCTCAGGACCTTGAACACGCCCAAAATGTTCTTCCCAGGAAGGCAAAGGCAGTGGGTATCCAGAGTCCTCTGCTGCGTATCAGTCACGCTGTATGTATCCGGATGTTCAGCAGGAATCGTCCCGCAAAAACTGGCAACTCCGGGCCTGGATCAGCGCCTGACACATGCAGGTGTTCAATAAAAGAACGGGATGCCCACGCCAACCCGGAAAGTTCCTTGTTAAGAATACCATAGGCACAAGAGACCCTGGGTGCATAGGGTGCTTACTGGTAGCAGGGAGGTCGCCTTAACACGCATTCCTAGTGGCCCAAACTCTTCTCTTGCTCTCAGGATTTTCCTAAAAAGAACAGCTGGACACCAGCTCCAAGTCATCCCTTCCAGAAGTTGACCTGCTGGGTATCGGCTCCCAAACTGTGTCTCGCAAGCCGTGAGGAGGCCCGAGTCCTCCGCAATCTCCCTGCCCATCCGCACACCTCCGCTGAGCCACCTGCTCGAGGTGACAGGTCGCACCCGCTTCCCACGCCCGAGTTCTGCAAGGGCAGTTTGTTCCTGCCCCGGGGGAGTGTAGCGCCTGGCAGATTCGCATAAAAGATGCTACCACCGTGCCTCTTAAACCGAGTCCCTGGCTAGAACGCGTTGGGCTCCAGAGCATGAGGCTTCGCTGCTACCACCAAAGGTGGTGATGGTGACAAAACACACAGGCAGCGCGACGCGTGTGGCAGCGTACTGGGTGCGTTCCTGGACGGTAGGCCGGCCTCCAGCAGGCAGCGCACATAACCGTCCTGAGCTGAAGCCTCGGTGTTCCCCACTAGCCGCGATGGCCCATTAATTCTTAACATTCAAATTCCACCCACTAAAACAACTTCTCAGTGCAGAAACGGCCTCTAGTCCCCAAAAGACGGCCGACGGCAACCAATCAGTAACCGGATAGGAGTTCGCCCCCTTTTCCCTCGCCCAAACAGACAAGAACTGTCTCCAATGGAGGGCGCCACTGTCAAGACTCCGCCCCAGGCCGGTCGCGACAGCCAATGGAGGGCAGGCTCGCCGCAGCGCCGAAGGCTGGGCGCGGATGCGCAGGTGCAACAGCGCGCAGGCTGGACGGGAGGGCGGGGCCCGACGTCGGCCGTGCGGGGTCCCGGCATCGGCGGCGCGCGCGCTCCCTCCTCTCGGAGAGAGGGCTGTGGTAAAAGCCGTCCGGAAAATGGCCGCCGCCGCCGCCGCCGCGCCGAGCGGAGGAGGAGGAGGAGGCGAGGAGGAGAGACTGTGAGTGGGACCGCCGCGGCAGCGGGCGGGGACCCTTGCCGGGGGGCGGGGGGTAGGGGCGGGACGTGGCGCGGGAGGGGCCCGCGGGGTCGGACGACGAGGCTGGCGGATGGCGTCCCTCCTCTCTACCCTCCCCCTCCCTCCGGTGGCGGTTCTCCCCTCGGCCCGCCACCCGCGCTCGCAGGTGAACGTCCTCGGCGCGGTCGCCCCGGGCCCCTGGCGCCGCCCGCTCTCTGAGCGCATCCCAGCACTGCCCCGCGGGCGCCGCTGTCGCCAAGGCTTCGCCGGGAGGGCTGCGCGCGCTCCTGCCCTTCTTGGGGCTTAGGGCCGCGGCGCCGTCGCGCGCCCGCGGCCCCGGCCTCTCCCTGGATCGCGCTCTCCCCGCTCCCTCCCTCGCGCGCCCCCTCTCCCGTTACTCTGCCCCCCCACCGGCGCGCGTGCGCAGTCCGCCTCCCGTCGGGAGAGTGCGCCACAAGGGCTTCTGCGCGCTCACCCCCATCTCCGGGCTCTGCCTCCCCCTTCTCGCCCGTTCCATGACTTTCTGCCCCCGCTGCGAGCGGGCCGGCCTGCCAGCTCCTTCCCCGGGGTAGCGGGAGCCGGTTGCTGGGGGTGATTGTCCCCAGCCGAAAAGAGCAGATGTCATGTGCCTGGGTCCCACAGCTCATCTTATAGAGCGGATTCTGCTCCCATCAGGACCTAAGGGCTGGGGACCCTGCGTCCAATGGCACCTGAGGCTCTGAGCCAAGAGCATGCCCTCTGGTGTGCAGAGGTTCTTGGGGTGCTGTGCCTTTGGAATCCAAGCGCCCTCCCATCTCCCCCCCCCACTCCCCACTCCACCTCCCTCCCCGCCGCCGCCGCCGGCGATCTTCCAGTTACATAAGTGGAGTAGGACATAGTATGTGACGGGTTTTCATCGTCCTGGACCGCTGAGGATCACCCCGGACCCGAAGGGGCGAGCTCGTCGCATCGCTGTGATTCCTGTCAATTAGCGCTGAAAGTTTATTCTCTTTTTACTTTGATTATAACTGAATCGCCCCCAACTAAAACTCAGGTGACTTTTATGGAGCTGTGGTAGTGTTTCTGTGTCTTAGCCCTAAAGCCTTAAGGTCACTGTCAAGAGTCTGAAAAGGTTGCTCTCACCAGACCCTTCTTGGCCTACCTGAAGCGGACCACCACACCACCCCTACGCCCCCCAAGGGAGCAGCTTGCTGGGAACACCTCCATGGGGTGGCTTCTGTTGTGAGCGAGCTTGAGTGTGGGTTGGTCACAGCAGAAATGGGTCCTGCCACAAAATTGATATTCCTGACTCATGGTCGGGCAGATGTGTGCTTCTGGTTATTTTTCCAGGAACACAAATGAGCTCTGCTGAACTGTTTGCACGTTGTACCCCTGATGTTCGAGATTGTTGGCCCAAAGTCTGATGTGACAGGATCAAATTCAGGGGGTGGTTGGTGACCATGGCACCAAATGTCCTGGTACATAATGTTAAGTGGCTGAGATGTTGGACTCACAAGTTTTCCGCGTTTTGTTATACCATAAAAATAAAGCACATTCAGGCTTGAATAGTAGTCACGCTAATAAGCAATTACTCGAGAGGAGAATTTTGGGTTTTGTGGCTGGAATTTTCATCCGAATCACAGCAATTTCATTTAGGAGCAAGATTAAACTGACCTCTTGGGTCTTTTGAAATATGCTGAGCCCTTATAAAAACATAGGTCTGAGTTTTTTAGGTCTTTTGGGAATTTCCACCAGGCATTTAGGGAAATGGGCTTAGTTATGGGCTTTTCAGGATTTCTACTTCAAATCCCAGTAAGGAAGCCTGGGAAAGGCTTTTATTTTCTTATGTGGTTACATTAGAACCTTAAAGAGCACAATCAGTCTGGTGGGAGAATGGTTGATTAGAATAAGTTGTCATAGATCACTTGGTGGCAGGTCAACTAGGTGGCTGGCACTGGGATGCACTCAAGTGTGCATACATGTACACCTCACCATATGGGGGTTCCTGGAGTTGTACATCTGAGCCAGATGCGGGATGAGCGGAGATCTCCGCTTTGTTTCGGACATGCATCTCCCGTACCCTTGAATCAGTGTGGGTAGCTTCCAGAGTACAAGTTCCACTCACAGCGCCTCTTGCTGACCTTGGTGGCATCTAAAGCCAACAAGTCCCTGAAGCTGGAAGAAACTGTGTATGGTTTTCTTGCTGGTATTGGCATGTGACCCCGTCCTATTTCCTGTTAATAAAATTTTGCTCTAGCCAGGTGTGGTGGTACAGATCCATAATCCCAGCACTTCGGAGGCTGAGGCAGGAGGATTGGTGCGAGTTTGAGGCCAGCTTGGACTGCAAAGTGAGTGTAGCAGTGTAGCAAACCCTGTCTCAAAATGACCAAAAAATAATAAATAAAATTTTGCCCTGAGTCCTTTACACGCAGAATACCAGATCTTTATTTCATCTGGTCACAATGCCCTCTGGAGTCATCTCTGCTTGACTGGGGTCGATTTTGATCCCTGAGAGAGGCTGAGTGAGGGTACAGACCCCAGTGGGTGTGAAAGGCTGCAATACAACTTTGCAATCTGTGTTTTTATGTTTGTAGCCTCTAGACACAGCTATCTCCCCTGCCTCCATGCCCCTGTGAGATCTAAACTAATGGGGCAGGGGGCAGGCTGTGGAGTTTGAAAGGAAACCTGGCCTGGCCTTATAAGTCCACTAAGACTGCCTTCTCCCGTGTGGAGACTGCCCAGGAGCACATTTCTTGAGCCTGCAATAAAGAACAGCAGAGGTAAACTTGTTCACCACAGTTCTCCTGCGACCAGGGCTATTTGCATAACAAGTGGCATGCCCTGGAACCCACAGTCTTCTATGAAGGTGGCTGTCAGTGGGAATCTTGTAATTGGACAAGAGCAGTTTGTCCCAGGCCGCTGAGTTCCCTCGGGAGGAAACGGTGGGCGCTGCTGCAGCGGTGGAGAGCTGTCCTGGGGGGGGCATGTCCCACCTGCCGCCTTCCCACCCTCTGCCCAGGTGCCATCTGTGCTGACCAAGCAGACTCAGTCTTTGCTCTGGATAGAGCACTGCTGCCCCCCCAGGTATCCCCTCCTCAGCTTCACCTTGAGCCTTACTGTCCAATGCAACTGACCAGCCTCTGAAGCCATGGCACCCTCTTCCGCCCCAGCTCGCTCACATCTTCCCTGTTTTCTCTGTCTGTGCCTTGAAGGGACCTTCCCTGCTCCAGAGCTTGATTTTCGCTGCCTGGCCCCTCCACCCTGATGGAGGTGTGTGTGTGGGGGAGTGTGTGCAGAGACGGGACGGGCAGCAGCCTCATGCCCATCCCAGGGGCACGCGTGAGTGCTGCGGTGGAGTCAGGCCTCAGCCTGTTTCACAGTGCTGCACACAGGCAGCTGCGTCTGTGGCCCGTGAATGAATGCATGCTTACCGTCGTATGCAGCTGTGCCGCAGCTGTCACAGCTGTCCAATGGGACTGGGCTTCGGAAAGGGGGCGCTTGTCTCCTTACCTAGGAACTAAGGGTGCTAGGTAGATTTGGGCTTCTGCCTAGCTGTAGTCATTCTCTGACTTCCCCCACCCCCATGAAATCTTGAGTTAATTAAGAACCTCAAACTTTTAGAACTGGAAGGAATCATAGTCCAGCTCCCTCATTTTACAAGTGAAGCAATTTGTGGCCTTGAGAAAATGTGACTTTTCCAGGTCTTCCTAGCCAGGTTGCTGGTGAGATTTTTATACTCTACTGTGTAGGTAACCAAGAAACATGGTTAGCAGCTGGGATTGTGAAGCATTCTACGACTTGGCTCTTTGTTTAAGGGGATTAGAGGAATTGTGAGGCTTCACTGAACCTCAAAAGATAATTCTAGGTACCATCCAGGCAGCTGTTGCCTAACCATAAAGGAAACAACTGGGGCTGCCCTTCCTGGATTAAATCACACGTATCATTGCCAGTATTCCTAAGGTATATATTTTACGCTTTTGTTTTTAGTATAAAGCTAGAAGTGCTGCTGTTGGGCCAGCAAGGTATCAGAGATTAGCTAATACAAAACAGTTCAGGTTTTAACAAGGAGATGATAGTTATCTTAATGACAAAAGTCCTTTTGAACATGTGTTCAAAAACAAAAGAGAAACAGTCAGACTAATAAGTCAGTTCGTTGGTGTTTGCTGTGGAGATTTGCTGCTCTGTGAAGCTTAGCCGTGACTGCTCTGAAATAGCTGTGTGTGCGTATTTTGGACGGTGGCGTTGGATCTCCCTGGGCACCTGGTTTCCCTGGGTGCTTTGTTTCTTGCAGGGTTAAAAACCCCTACTTGATATTGCAGCAGCCCTTTGTAACTTCAGCTGCTTGCTAATGAAGGGAGGCTTTGCCTCTGGATTGTGTGCATTTGCTTTTGGGGATGGTATTTTGATGTCATGTGTTATCTTGAATGGATATTTTTTCCCTGGGTATTTCCGTATGACATGGTGGAAGAAATACTACTTGCCAGAAATCAGCACTCATGGTATGCTTTGTAGTGTCAGAATGTCTCCCAGAGGTGACAAGACCTGTGATAGTGTCCATGTGAACCAGCATGAGTCTTTATTTTAGTACTGTCTATTATGTGCCAGTAATTTGCAGTTTGTCCTTTGTTTCTAGCTAGGTGAGCTGGGAAATAACATAGTGCTTTGTCTATGTGTTTATCTTCAAAATGTCCCAAATAGCCCTGGGAAAAAGGTCATGCAGCTCAATGGGGGCTTTCAACTTACAATTTTCTTTGTTTTAGGCTCCATAAAAATACAGACTCACCAGTTCCTGCTTTGATGTGACATGTGACTCCCCAGAATACACCTTGCTTCTGTAGACCAGCTCCAACAGGATTCCATGGTAGCTGGGATGTTAGGGCTCAGGTAAGTAACCTTCCTTTTTTTTTTTTTTAGTATATGTCCTGGTTTGGCAATCTGTTTTTAAAAAAAGAGGAAAAAAAGATATTCCACTCTTGGACAGCATAAAAGTACCCCAAAGACTA